AGAGCTGTCCTTCTAAGGCTTAGAAGTCATCATGCTCAGCGTCTGTGGTACTGAAATAGCCTTAAAGTTGATGAAACTATTTGTGGGACCCACTCTAGAAGCCTGGAGGTGGACCTCTCGAACCAAAAGTTGTCCAAAGCTGGATAGCAGTCAATGAGTCTATTCTGTTCGAAGACTGTTGACCTACTGGCAAAGTGCCTGTGCAGGGGGACCAGCTTTGCCCCACATATTAGGTCCTTAAACTAGAGATAGAGATAGAGAGATAGAGGAGACAGGTGAGGGGGCCCTGCTTATCTGGGTAGGGTGTCTTACCGCCCTAGCTCTCCCTCTGGTGCTGCCTGTGGAAGCTTGCAATCTTTTTAAAAAAGAAAAGGCTACTTGCTATTTGTCATTCCTCTCACTTTCCCCCGAAGGCTATAGGGATCCAAGCCTACCCCCTGAAGAAATAGGACTCACACAAAATTTGGACCCCAGAGATTTTATCATTCAGCCAGAAGATAAAATTGTGAGAGGGAAACACTTCGTTTTAAAGGAGTTACGCCTGCTGCACATTAAATAAATTTACTGGATTTTTCTCTCTCTCCAAAAGGAATTGTTTTCAGCATGCAAAACATCAAACCGAAGGTTAGCGTGTGAACGTGCGATTTGGCAATAAATTTCCATAAGAAATGTTCTTTGGACTCCCCCCACCCACCAGTGGAAAACAATGAAGATGTTTTTGAGCAGTCCACTGCAGTCTACTTTAATAATAAAAATAATAATGGAAGAAGCCCGTTTAGCTGGTTGGCTATAGACGTTCCATTTATTTTGTAGATATATCACAGGTCTTTAAAGCCATTTAAGCAATTAATGGAACAGAATCTCATTTTATCTTTGAAATCTACTACCTGAGCTAACGGTATTTGTCTAACGTACTCCCTCCAGTCCACAAACCAGAACATATCCGTACTAGGACTCCAGACCCAAGCATTTAGAGCTATAAAGTCCCATTGACATAACTCCAGGTACTCCAGTTTAAATGGGTTGATGACTGGGAAGTTTGGAGGTCTATCTGGTGACCGCTACCTCATAGCTGTAATCTTGTTGAAGACCCTGTTGTGTTCTTAGTAAATTGCCCTTTAGAAATATTGAGGGTTGGGGGAAACTCTTTCCTTTTTGCTTACTGTTTTCCGAGCATGCATGCATCTCCATTTGGTATTTAATTTTCAACAAAAATAATAATATTTAATTATTGGTATATACTTCCTTTAAGGAAATAATACCCCCCAAACCAGGCAAAATAATTGCCTCCCTCCGATATAGAATCATCCAAATGGACCTGGTATTTAGCCTCCCGCAAGAGAACGCGAGGAGTTGACCTGCATGGCAGTGCATATTTTTTAAAAAGGAGAAGAAATGAAAATTAATGCATCCCTGGATAAAACTCCAGTGGATGAGAAGGCAAATGACTTTTGCAGGTCTTCTTGTGTGGTTTACTTCGCTGGGGAATCCCTCAAAGCCCTGGGTTCTACTTCAGGGTAACTCTCCTGAAGTCATTTTGGTATGAATTTATATACTCAAGAAAATTATATACTCGGCTGCTGACATGCCTCATAATTATTTATAGGAGGTGCCTGAGGATTTTCCAATAATATATTTATTACAGGTAAAACATGGACAATTTATCTTGCAAAACACTGAACAGGTGTTTCCTTTCAATTAATGTTCAGTAAATTTCATCGCTATTTAATTTTTTAACCCCTTCCCCAAGAACAGCTAAAAAATGTCTGTTTATCCATTGCTTGTCTAAACCGCCCCGTCAGTCAACAAGCTGGCCTTTCCCTTTCCACAATGCCTTTAAATCATCTCTCTTACATTTTTCTTTCGCTCTAAAATCTAGAGAGCGGCTCCAAAACAGAATGATTAAAAAAAACAACCCAGTAATTTCTGGAATACCATAAAACAGAACGCATGCTTGATTTCCAGTTTTAATTACACTGGGGGCCTTTTTCATCCCGAAAGGGGGTGGGCGTCTCTAAGTCTTGAATACATATATATGAAATTAGGAAAATTAAACAAGAGGTTGATTTAAGGAATTATTTTTGTGTTGTGATTCTCTCCCCCCCACCCCAATATTGCTCTAGAGATTCAAAGTAATGGCACCAAGCAGTGATGCATTGATACAGGAAAAGCCTATAGTTCTAGGTAAAAGCAAACAGAATTCGGATCTCATTGAAGGCCATAATAATTCTGCAACTGACCACACAACTTACCCCAAATGCCACCACGATTCATTTTACATGCTATGGCTACCAAATCGTGGGAGCATGATCCAGACAACGTTAAACACATTTGAAGGTTCCACCAGTTTCAGTGGGAGTGTGAGGCGCTAGTTTAACTCTCCGACTGAAACCAATAGGCCAAAAAACGTTTTAAGTTTGACTTGGGGTGCTTAAGGCTGCAGACTCTCTTGGAGGTAAATCCCATGGAACTTGCTACTACTTACTGCTGAATAAACATGCATAGCATCCGGCTATAACATTTCTTTCTTTCTTTCGTCCCAGAGGAAAGAGAATCTCGAGGTAGATGGGATGGAAGCAGTGATCTAGATATTGGTTTCAGGTGTTTTTTGAAACCTTCAAGCGCAAAAGAACTTTAGTTTGTCTAATCCTCTATCTATGCCCCTGAATGCATCTGCTATCTAACAAGTCAACTATCTTTTCTGTTTCCTTTTTGACTCCCTGCCTCTATCACAACACTAAACATATTTTACTCTGAAGTAGGTTTCATTGGTCCCAAAGGAACTTACTTCCAAATAAGTATTCTTTATATTGCATTCTCTTTATCTTTCTCTCTCTGGATTCTTTTAATTATTTTTAAAAACCTGTACCAGTCTATCTGTCTGTCTGTCTTTCCTTCAATCTCTTCCTATTCATTTTTGTCTCTCGATACGATCCTTCATCCATCTCAGATCTGATACCTACCAACACAGCACCTTGGTGTACAACACACAGACAAACATCATCTCCATCCTTTTGAGAAAACTACTTGAGGAAAATGACAGCCTTCTTTTAGACGTGACGTTGTTGCTGATCTTGGGCTAATTTTCTTCATGGCCCAGAATTATGCTCTATAAGGATGAGTGGTTTCCTCAAGGAGAGCAACCGCTTAATCGAACCCTTCTGTCCTCGCAGAATTTCCCCTGCACCAGTATTGAACAATTATTCCGTGCTGCATTTTGGACCAAGGGTGTTGGACAACCCTTGGTGTGAGAACTCGGGGTCTTTTTCACCCTCTCTGTCTCTCTCCAGTGCCTGAAAGGTTATGGGGCTGTGTCCAGTTAAAACCTCTATCGAGCACTTCCTGCTCTGCTAGAAGGAAAACTGAACCCTCCGCGTTGCAAAAGACGAATTTACGATAGGGCATTGTGTGAGATCCTTGACAGAGACAGACAGCTCGATCTGCAAGACTGTTAAGCCGAAGCTCGTTGGGATATTTTAGTCGTTTTAGGCCTTTTGGGCACGCCCTACGGCTCTAAATCTACTTACTTGGAAGTAAATCCCACTGAGATAAGTGGACATAAACTCTCACATGAATATACTTAGGGTCTGGGTTGTCAGCCTACACGCCACAGCGGTTGGCTTGGACATAACTGCTCCGGAGCAAATACGCTGTGAGATGTTGTAGTGGGATCGTTGATTGAAACATACAAGGCTTCTGCTTAACTGGATTGGATCTGGAGCATCAAAAAGGTTGAGAAGGAAGAGGGGATGGAGGGAGACGTGCGCTGATATGTTCAAGACACCCCTTGGGCCCCCCCTAAACACCCTCCTTTTCCACAGGCAGTAAATTCAAGGCTATAAAAATCAGAGAAAGCTAATGTAAGTTTTATTCAACTATTTAACCGTCTCAAGTCTAACGCCTTCTGTAAGGAAACAAAGAGGATCAGTACCGGATTGGACATTTTACAAGGGTAGTAAAATTAAAGTGCGTGTATATGGCGGGGAGGGAAGGGAGAGAGAGAGAGAGGAGTGTGTTGATTTCAGCGATGCAACTCAGCCTCTCCCCCCCTTCCATTGCTTTCAAAACAAACCGGGCTATTGCAGTAGAGACCCTACAGATCATCGATCTGTTTATCTGAATCTTGAAATGCACTCATATAGACGAACAAAACATTTAAACCTATAGCTTCTCTTTCTGTATATGTGTCTATATACATGCATACCACATATATGGAGAGAGAGAAAGAGAGAGAGAGATCTGCCTATACACATATGCGTATGTGGCGAGACTTGTTTTTTTTTAAATTATAAGCTTATCATATGCTATGGGCTTCACTTACAGGAGACAGATTTCACTCAGGCATGCATATTGCATATGCAGATGCACACCCGTGTATACACACATACACACACACACACACACACACACACACCGAGGCATACATAATACACACACGGCAGTGTTTAATATATAATGCACACAGACATTATACACACCCTTGACAGTTACGTTTAACCAGGGAAAGGAAGGCAACAAGATCAGGAAGTCATCCGATACAGGAAAAAAAAGAGTCTACTAATATTTTACTTCCAATCCAAAATCCACCCATAAGGATCATCGCCATCTCCCGTACATACATTTCAAAGCCCTCCATTGTAACCCTTGCGAAAGGTATCACCTCCCTCTTTTAGAAAACTTTAGAGGAAAGCCAGCGCAATTTATATTGCCTTGCCCCCCACCCTCCCTCAGCTGAACAACACGGGCACCTCGAAGGAGAGTGAGCGGAGTCTAGAATTACACAGTTTATAGATGGGGGGTTGGAGGGACGCGCGGGGGGGGGCGGTGCACGGAAAGAGAGAATTTTCCCCAGAAGAGTGTTAGTGAAGGCAAAGAGAGGGCAAAACACAGCATTTTTCTTTCATGTTTCAGAAGGGGATTTTAAAAAGAGAGAGAGAGAGAGGAGGGGGGGAATCTATTAACCCCCACCCCACGCCACCTCCTCCCCTCCCCACCCGCGTTTGCACTGTACGTTTCGCGCTTTCTGAACTCCCGACGTTTTGCAACATTGCATCAACATAACACAATCCATCCTTGATATGGAATGCAGAGGGCGGTTTGACAGCCCCGCGCAACCCCCTCCGCTAGGATTGATTTACGCCTGCCCTGACGCTTTATCAGCCTGACGAAAAAAGTTTGACCAATCATTTTGCTGGAAGCTCCCAACCCGGCAGTCCCGACTGTACTTTTTCTTGGCTAGGAAGTTGATGCTGGAGGAGAAAAGGGGGTTAAAGGCAGAGAGTCGCCTGTGGTTTCTTTCTTTTTTTCTTTTCCCCCCTTCTTTTTTATTTTTTTTACAGCTTCCCCTCTATATACCCTAATACTTATAGAGCCTGCTTAACTACAGATCTACTCCTCTCTCTCTCTCTTTTTTTTATTATTGCTTGCTTGCTTTTTCCCCTTCACTGAACCGTGGGGCTCGTATGATGTCCAAGAATGTCCATTTCTGGAACTCTTAGCAATTATTATGTCGACTCCATTATAAGTCATGACAGCGAAGACTCTCCCGCCGCCAAATTCTCTTCCGGGCAGTATTCAAACTCCAGACAAACTAGCCACAGTGAACACCTCGAGTTCCCCTCTTGTAGTTTCCAGCCCAAATCCTCCGTTTTCAGCGCTTCCTGGACGCCACTGACGCCACACACGACTGCTACCCTTCCTTCGGTCTACCATCCTTACATCCAGCATCAAAACGTCCCTACCTCCGAGAGCAGGTATCTACGGAGCTGGCTGGACCCCGTGCCCCGAGCAGAGAGCATAGCAGCCGGGCAGGGACCAGTTAAAACAGAGCCGCTGCTGGGACACCCCGGGGAGATCCGTAAACAGGGGACACAGGAGTACCATTTAGAAACTTCTGCTGGAAGGGAAGGGATCGCTTCCAATCAAAGGCCCAGCTTCGAGGACAATAAAGTTTGCGAAGGAAGCGAGGACAAAAGCAGGCCAGATCAAAGTAAGTTATAAAAAGTGAGGAAGTGAACAGCATAAAAACCTAAGAGGGGGTGTCATAAAACGGCACAATGGGCGAGGGAAGCTTTAAAAAAAATATAACCAGGTCTTAAAAGAGAAATCTCTCCCTTCCCCCAGCCCTACTACGCCACCCCCCCCGAAAAAAATCCCACTAGCGCTGTTCTAGCATTGGAGGGGTGTGGGGGGTGGCAAAGATTTATCTGCTGCTTATTGCGATATGTATTTATTTTTAAGTCAATGGAATACCATGCAAAAGGGGGAAATGAGATTCGATCTTCCTCTCCCAGTGGTTTGAAGAAGGGCAAGTCACAATGTTTGTCTTGACTATATAGGAAAATGAGCAGCGGGGGAAAGTGAACCGGGAAAGATCGGCGTGTGTGTGTGTGTGTGTGTGTCTGTCTGTCTCTGCGGTTTTTATCCATCTAAGTTATACTCAAAGCAGGGCCATTAAAATGAATGGACGCCCGTCATTCATGTCCATTATTTCCAATGGGTCTACTCTGAGTAGGACTATCGTGGATCTTTGGGTGGGGGAGGGGGCGAGATCTGGGAAAAGATATTTGTTTTGTTTTTAAAAGGGGCCGAAAGAAGTTCACGTGGAGGAATGAGGAGGGGGCTTTGTTACTCTGTGCCCTTGTTTACCTTGAAAGACCCCCGGTTCCCTCCGCCGCGCTTTCTTCTGTCACTCTCTCTCTCTCTCTTCCTGATTGTTGATTGTTGTTTGTTTATGAAATGCACCCGACATGCGTATGAATATTTCAGAGCCCAAAGCCGCCGCCCTCTCTCCCCCCACCTCAACAAAACAGTAAAATGGGGAACGAGCTTAATTGGGTCTTTTATTTCCTAAAGGGGAACAGACTGGCAAACTCTTAAACTTAATCGTGTGCTTCATTTTGCAACCTGGTGGTGGGTGGTGGCTATTATCTCCCTTTCCTGCTCCACCACCCCACCCCTACGCGGAAAAATATATATATATAGCGAAAAGAGTTTGGCGAGGGATGGAGGTACAATAAAATATAATAGGAATCATCTTTGCCTCTTACGTATTCTTCAAGGTAAAGAAAGAGGATGCTCTGAAGGCTGTCTCCACCGCCTTTCCCCCTGTGTGAGACGTTTCAAACAGCCGAAGAGCTCGATTCAGTATTTTGGTTGGTGGGGAAAGTATGACTTAGATGGTTTAAAATCTCAGCGCAAGTCATTCATCCGAGGCGATGGCTTCCTGGCATTCTTGCGGGGGGCCGGGGGGTGGAATGCAGTCTATCGATTTGTCACTATCTTTTCCCAACTGATTTTTTATTTTATTTTTTTAAAGCTTTATTATTATTTTAAAAATGTAAGTTCCCAGTCCGGTGGAGTGGGGAATGAAACAGCGAGAATTTTGAACTGCTGTTGGGGCAGTTCTGTACGTCTTCGTCGCATTTCACTCAGCCTTGCACAGTGGGAGGGGGGCGAATAAGGGAGTTTTTTGTGTACTGTGTTTGTTGGGACGCTGGCAGGATATCTGGATCAGCGGCTGAAGAGAACGGTAGAGAAGAAGTAGAAGGGTGCTTAAAAATAAAAAAAAGCTTATGTGCCCCCCTTTACCCTCCTCCCCACCCCCATCTTTCTCCCCAGCCCCGGGACTGAAGATAGATAAAAATCTTACCCAAGAACCCTGCTCGATTCCAGAGGCCCAGGCTGCCCAAGGGCGTCCTGTGCAATCTAGCTTAGAAGGTATGTTTGGTCTGATATGGAGAGAATGCTATAAAAAGAAGAAGAAGATGGAGGGAAGGAAGAAGGAGGAAAAGTCCGTGGCAGAAGCAGAAGTTAATGGTCTGACACTTGCCATGCCCTTCTTTCCCATTCGGAAAGCATTGCGCTTTTGAGAATCCACACTCTTCGAGAAGGTCTAATTTGTGTATATATAAATGTGTGCCATTTTGGGTTGTGTGTGGGATGGTGGGAGAGCAGCGTGCCAAGCGAACATTTCTCTCTTCTTTTTTTTGTTTGTTTGTTTCCTGTTTGGGGAATAGTGTGAAATGAAAGATAAACTTGTTTTCCTGTGGCAGACGTCATGTTTCCTTGAAATGCCAAGAAATCACGCACATACATACACACACACACACACCACTAAAAGGAGGGCCATTGGTGGAGATTTCATCCAAATGCCATTAAAAGATAGGTAGCGGTATTAATTATTAACAGCATGCCTCTTTAATATTTAATTCTGCCTATTAGAGCCAGTCACTTCTGTTGTGGAATCGGCTGCTCGGATTTGTAAGACGGGGGGAGCTAAACCTGGTTTAAAAAACAACTCCGAATGCATTTCATTTTGTAACTTGCAAGGAAGTGGCATCGGTGCACCTCCTGCACCGCTTAAAACGATCCCTAAGTAAGACAGAAGTTTGGCTTTGGACTATAAAACTCCCCGTTTGATTATCAACAAGAGTTTCAGTACTGACCAGCCGGCGCAGCTCAAATGTATTCTAGGTTTCTTTTGTCAAATATTCCGTCACAACGAGGCTTCTTTAATCTTGAATAGACCTATTACAATATAAATATATTCTCTCTCTCTCTGGGTGGGTGGGTGGGTGTGTTCCTATCTCCTTACGCAGAAATGGATTCTATCCACACTCTTGTTTCTGCCATGACTCCTGCAGAGAGGGATCCTAACCCTCATGAAGTTGTTTCTTGAATTACTATTCGGGCTAAATAAATAAATAACCCCCCCCCCCAACACTGGGAGCGATGCACAGTCCGCTGGGCAGGTCTTACTATGTGTCTTGCGCAGGATAGCTTCCTGGTGAATTGTGGCCTGTGTTCACTGTCACCCTGTGCTTCTCCAGAGTCTTTTGCGGTGCTTAGGAGGACCGTGATGTAAACACCTCTTTCCGGACAACACATACAGGCAACAACAAGCAATTGGTTTCCCCGCTGGCAGGGGTAGCTAGGGTGTCACAGGTCTTCTTTTTAAAAAAAGTAAATTATAAGAAAGCAGAAGAGAAGGAGGGAGTGCTAAATTATGCATAGTTTTATATGAATCAATTTGTATATATGACACTTCGCTAGAAAGGCAATCTGCGCGCCACGATCCTCCAAAGAGGCGCAGGAAATTAAAGAATACTGTAGAATACTATGACATCTTCCCATAGTGTTCATCTGACAATAGACCCTTCCTTCCTTCCATAATCTCCCATCTATCTATATATAGAGAAACAGATGGACACCCTGTGTGTGTGTGTGTAAATATATTTCATCCTTCCTTCCTTTCCATTCAACCAATAGCTGCATCATTTGCTATAGTCTCTAACCACCTTCCAGTGTCAGAAAAAGGCTCCGTTAACTTTCCCTTTTTAGTATCAGTTTCTTCCCCAGACATATATCCAACCTTGCACATAAATGTTCAAATATTAGTAGGCATTCTTTCTACAACTGTTCGCTTGTTGCTTTTCAAAGGTGGCTTTCATTTATAACCTGTAATGTACTTGAGGGGTGCCCCTCTTTTACGTGGGTGCTCATCTTCTCCCAGCTCAAAAGTTGACCAAGAGTCCCTTCTTCTGAGGAAGCGGTGTGTGTGTTTGGGTTGTGTGTCTCTGTGGATTCCAGTGGCGCTTGTCTGACGGGGCCTCCTCGCTGTCTTTCTTTTCCAGGTAACCCTGCAGCCAACTGGTTGCACGCTCGCTCTTCCCGGAAGAAACGATGCCCCTACACCAAGTACCAGACCTTGGAACTGGAGAAGGAGTTTCTGTTCAATATGTACCTCACCAGGGACCGTAGACACGAAGTGGCCAGGCTCCTCAACCTGAGCGAGAGACAAGTCAAAATCTGGTTTCAGAACCGAAGGATGAAGATGAAGAAAATGAACAAGGAGCAAGGGAAAGAATGATGCTTTCCTTCTCCCTTTCCACACCCCTCCCTCTTCTCACCCCCAATTTTGCCCCCGTCTCGAAACTTATATGCTGTATATTTATGGGCACTGACTTGCCAGCGGTGCTTCAGATAGCAACGAAACCACGCCAAACCCGAACAGACCACCGTGGTTTGCATGCAAAAGGTGCCCATAATAGGAATGCACCTGTTTTCATCCCGTTGAGTCTTTCTCACTGTTAAAGATTATTGACGAGGTAACGCCAATTTGGGGCACATGTTTGTTTGTTTGTTTGTTTGTTTGTTTGTTTCCCCTTTGGGTGCATGTGTTCCTTCTACCGAGATAACTGAGAGGGTCCCATCTATGCACATAAGTCGTTCTTTCGGATAGTCCTTATAGAGCCCCTCAGCTGGTCCCTCCAATGAAAATAAGCATCTACATCTGACAAGTGCTCTGTCCCGAACACAAGGTACCTTCCAACCTGGGGTTCCTCTGGGCAAACTGCTTAGAAATGAACGGAGGAGTTCCACGGCAACAGTGGAGAGTCCTGGGACCGGGGGAATTGTGCCTCTCAATACCTTCCCCCATCTTATATTCCTATTCCTATGGAGAGGAGATGGCCACATCGCTCTCCACGGAGCAAAAAGCGAATCCGATAAGGAATATCAAATGAAGGGAACCAGTTAAACTCATCAACTTTTCGAGGACTTCGCCTCCATTTCTTGAGGGGCAGAAGAAGTCCCATTGCGTAGGGAACCCGCACCCCCCCTTCCTTCACATATATTCAAATGGGGCAGGAGAGAGGTTTATTAATGAAACAGGGATGTCATTTTCACAAATGAAGCCCGCCGCCTAATCAAGGGTGCAAGGGAACCATCCCGAGGCCAAACAGGGCGCAGGGCTTTTGCGAGGCCTCCCCTTCCTTGCGCAGGAGAACTTCCCCACAGCCACCATCGCGTTGTGCTTCTCCTTTCCCACGAAGTTTGGTTTTAACTTTTAAAGAGACGAGCCATGTTGAGTTTTGGGGAAGGGGCGCACGCTAGCTTTGCAAAAGTGAAGAGAAGGCTGTTCCCACCTGTGCTCGATTCTTTATCATTTGCAGTGGAAATGAATTTCCGTGAAACTGTTCAAAGGCCAAGTGTGGGATGGGGGTCCCTGGGTCTTCCTTTCCCCCCACTCGCCCATCCACCCTCTCTTTCTCCTTCATCCAGACTTCTGCTGAGAAGTTTTGATACTTGAATGTTTCAAGGGATGTTTTCCCTTATACCCCATTGCTCCTGGAAGACATATATAAATCCATCTTTCATGTTCACATGAAAAAGAACTCTTGAGTGGCATAAAAAGGTCGCTATGGCATTTGGGGTGGGGACTGCCCCACAGATAGACATCCTCACTGTTTACAAAAAGGGGACAAAGAAAGAACTCCCATTTCATACTCGGAAAAAGGGGGTGACCATATCTGAAATCTCTGCTGGGGTCCTACCCCACTCCCTTTGAAATCGCCCACATGGGGTTCTGTTTCCCCATGTGTTTAAAATAGTTTTATCCCCACCCGACTCCTGTCCATCTTTGGTAGGACTTGGGAGGGGGAAGTAGGTAGGTGAGTAACTTTAGTACAAGGTGGTTTTACGGCGCGTACGGATTTTCGTTCTTTTGTTTGTTTTCATAGAAGGGGGGAATGTGTTCGTGGTTGTGATTTTGTGAACGTTCCGCTTGTTTTCTGTGGCTTTTAGGAATATAAAAATGGGGTCTGTACCTGTTAGTTCCAGAGCTGGCGAAAAATATACATATAGAAACACGCCCCCCCCTTCAAGCCTTCGTATAACCCCCACTCCCTTCTGATTTACCACTTCTAGAAAGGACACCTTTACGTGGTGAAAAAGTTTTCCTAGAAAAACAAAGGGGGTGGGAAATAGGTGGGGAGAGAGAGAAGAAATTAATGTCTGTCTTTCGGAATGTTTCGAGACAAAACAGTCCCAGCAGAGAAATCTAATTTCATAGAATATTATATAGGACTTTTATACCATTTTTGCCTGCTGATAAGCAGTTGTGCTTTAGAGATTTGATAGGCATATTTTGATCTTTCGACATGGCGTGGCCTGGTTTGCAGGCTTTTCCTGAGGCGGGAAGGAAAGAATCCTTTTAGGGTTTTTAGTTCAGCGTCAAAGAAAATAAAATCTGCATTTTTTAAATAAAAAGGGTTTTTTTTGGGGGGGGGGTTCCTATCACTTTCTCTTAGAATCTTCCCGTCCTATATAAGTTATTGGAGGGTGGGGAGCTTGCAGGAGTGATATTCGACGAGGCAAACTATAAGCGAATTCCTTTTTATAAAGGTTAAACTTTAGAGGGTCCCAGTGGCTTAAATTAGTCAAACTTCACATTGTCTTATAAAACCAGTTCCCTAATGGAATTTCCAAGGAAGCGTCCTAATTCCGCCTCCCTCCTACTAAGTATAAAATCGGAGGTGTTTTGTTTTGTTTTAGATAGTATTTCCATCATTGGAGTGTATTTTGAGCCAGCTGGGGTTGGGTAGAATTCTGCGGTTTTGTCTGTTTCGGTTTTTTAACTCGCTGGTGCACTAAGTGAATCTGAAACCCGACAGGACGCGGAGAGCATCTTTCAAAATCGCCCTGAACCCCCTTTCAGCGCTAACATTCACATTTTGTAAAGAAAGCCGTCTCTATAAATGTATTAGCATATTCACTCATTTTAGCCATAGGCTCATTCCTAGACCTTATTAGTGAAGACAAGAGAAGTTTTTTAAAACCGCATTTTTGCTAAAGCTTGGATTAATAAACAGAATTAAATTTAAAATAAATAAATAAAACTAGCTGATTTCGTTAGAGGAAACTCTGTTCTTAAGAGTGAGAGAAAACGTTTGGAAAAACCTTCTGTTGTTTCTTCTGTTCCATCGGTTCAAAATGTATTTTCCACAGCTGTTTAATGCCTCAAAACAAAAACCGATTTTAGGGAAGGGAGACCCCCCCCCTACCTATATCTCATTGTGTTATACTGCTTCTTCTAGAACTTCAGAATATTTGCAACTGTGTTCGTTTGTTTGTTTCCTTTCCTGGCTATTAAGGGTGTGTTATAAAGATAGTTTTGTATTGTTTTGTTTTCGTTTGGTCAGTGGCTCCCCTTTTTTTTACGTCACTAAGAAAAGCTGATAATGATTCAATTTCGGCGCGTTTTTGTTTTCTTCCCGTGTGAAATCGGTTGCATCTATAAACCCATTCAGCAAAACAGAAATAAAGCGGTTCTCCGTCTTTCCATTTGTGGCGAAAAGAGTCGTTATTATTACTTTTTTAAAGCCAAGAAAAAGAATGGACGGACGGATGAATGAATGGATGGATGGCTGGGTGAATGAGGGAAAGGGGGGGAAGTATGTGCGTGAGTTAATATTATGTTTACACATTACAATTTGAGAGGCTTCTACATGCAATCCAATGATGGTGAGGCGAAGGTTCTTTTCCAGGGCTGGGACGAAGTAGATCCAGGATCCCCCAACTTACATTGGAGTTGAAAAGAAATAGAAAAAGAAAAAAAAAGAAATATAATGCAGCTCTGATAAACATATCTTGCCTTACAACTCATTCGCACGGCCAATAAGCTTTCATGTAATGATCCTTCCCCAAAGTGACTTGTCCTACATATTTCAATTAGAACCATTACCAACTGGGAAAGGGATATCCATGTGCTGTTTTTAATAGTGTTTTTCAATTACCCACGACCAAAAAAAATCTAAATAATGAGGCCAGAAACAAACCAACCACGATTTTCTTATAACACAAACCTTGAAATGTAAAGTTGGCTGATGTCAAAAATAAAAATAAACGCTCTGTTTTGATCATGGTGATGATTTCTTATTTTATTTTTGGAAAAAAATATTTTTAAAAAATATATATATTTTCAAGCTCTGGAAAGAGAAGGGGGAAATGATCGCTGGATCTAAGTGGAATAAAAGTGGGAGCGGGGCTTGTCATAAAAGAGAGAGCGAGAGAAGAAAAGTCTGCGCGGTAGGGCTGCAATAAAAGAATATGACCGCCATAAAACTTTATAGGGTATAAATTTCTGAAGGTTAAGGAACTAAGCAACTGTAAAGCAAACAAGAGTAGAAAACTTTCAGAAGCTCCTAAATTACTAGAATGTCTTGAGAGAGAGGAGGTGAGGGGGATGGAAGAAGTAGACAGACATTTGTGCCTTGTTTACCCAGAAATTGGGGGCACTTTTTTAATAATAATAAAAAGAATGTTTTTAGGAAGAGAGAGAGAGAGAGAGAAAGAAAGAAAGAAAGAAAGAAAGAAAGAAAGAAAGAAAGAAAGAAAGAAAGAAAGAAAGAAAAGTCTACATAATTTATCCCCCTCTGGTGAATTCTGTGAAAATCCAGCGTTCTGGATCGCTTCGCCCTTTGTGTGGCGCTTCTTATCACTTCCAAGCTGCCAGCATCCGGGATCATAAACTCACAACAAACACACACAAACACACACCATCATATATATATATATACACACACACCCCAAAGTTCTGGCGAGACGTCTGGGTTTAGAAAGCCTTTCTCCACTCTTTTTAATCTATTTACAACCCGAGCTTTTCCCCTATCCAGAGCAGAATACTTCAATTGTTTAGTCTCAGGTTTTGAAACAATGGTGGATTCCCCCCCCCCTTCCCAAAAGCAAAATCCCAGCCCCTGTCTTTTATTGCTCTGAAAACGACCGGCTGGGAAGTATCTACAGCAAAGCTTGAGGTAGGGTTGGGTGGGGTGGAGTTATTCTTCGCAATCACAAATATACACTGGATCTTATGATTTTAGAAATGATTTATCGTGTGTAACAAGACTTTAAAACGCACACAAAGGGGGAGAGACAGAAAAAAAAAGAGATCCATAAAAGCACGCGCGCGCACACACACCAAATCTTCATCACCCACCTTCCCTTATTATTGGCTTGCACATTTCTAAAAGCGCCTTACTTGGAATGGTCGTTAGATGGCGCTGTTACTCCACTTTTAGAAATCACCGAGCCAGCAGCTTATTGGATTTCTTTCCCTCTCGAGTCCGCAACACCTTGATTTCATTAGGAACAATAAACGGAATTGCTGCTCAAAACCTTTGTGAATAAATCCTCCAGCATAAAATATAGGGTTAATTATGGCGATTTTGAGGTTTCTTCTCGAGAAGGTTCTTATATGTTCAGTCCATTGGAAGAGAGACATCCACAAAGATTTTAAAAGCTTGCTGCACGAATGCAGCAGGAAGATCTCCTGCGCAAGCCCCTTTGCAATGAAGAGGGACTGGTGATCTACGGAACAGCTCCAGCACAATTCCCATTCATGTCCATTTCACGCCGTATGTGTGCGCTGGGTGACCGGATCCTGGCCTGAAGAGGCTATGTGAGTGTGTGGTCAAGGAAGCAAGCAAACGTTTAAGAGCACATAAATATAACCTTAGAGGGTGTTGTTTTGCTCCTCCACTGTTTTAGGGCCGTTAAAAGGTTATGGTGCTTATATTACAGTTTCCAAAACAAAATAAAAAATGTATTTTGCAAGAAAGAAAGCAGATGGATCACAAATTTTGGGAGAGGGCAGGAAATGTCCATTCATTCCACAAGGACCCCATTATACTTTGATGGGAACCTCTGTAGTACATTATATGACGAAGACAATTCAGACAATCGCAAGTCTCCCCCAAAACCTTATAGGATTATTCAATCACTTGTTTTCTTAATGCGCTCACCCAGACGTTTTGTGAACCCTGACCACACATATTCCTATGTATGTGTGTGTTTGTAAATATATAAATAAGAAGAGGTGTGTGCTTAAAATGAACCGAAAAACAGAGGTGAATTTACCCTTTCACGTGACCCTTTATAAATATTTTCTTGGTCTAAGAGCACGAACACCATAAAATTATTGGCTTAAAAAACCCCAAAATACTTTCAGATCTCTTTCGCTGCCCCCACTCCCCAAAAGCCTCGGATGAAAATGCAAGGGGGCATTATTGGATATAAAACACTTCATTTGTTAGACAGAAATAACACGACCAGAAAACGGAATATTAGGAACGGAACCATTTTAATAAAGGCTTTCTAACGAAAGTTTACAGCTTTTGTAGACGTATTTTGAAGAAGAATGCAGCAGACTGGTGACATTCGATACACAGTTTTGTTAAAGGGCTCAGAGCCTAATTTTACGACAGTACAAATCCGAAAGGTGGTGGTGGGGAACAAGAAAATGAAATGCCACCCCTCCCTTGCAAATCACCCATTCCACCCGAAAGGCGAATTCCAGCAAATCCTCGCTGTATAAAAGCTGCAATCCTTTAGCCATAAGTAGTTTTGTGCAAATTAATAGGAAGCCTCTTTTAAAAACAAACAAACAACAACAACAACTCATGGAGCTATAAAGTAATGAGAAGTTACAGTTTACGAAGTGATGTATTTTGGGGAAGGTTTGCTAATAAATCTTCCCTCCGCTGGGTATTTGTAAATTATGTTCCCACTTTCTCTTGTGGTTTTCTCCCCCACCATAATAAAAACATTTTCCTTTCATCAGAGGTCCCTCGTACAGTATGCCGGTGATATAATGCAAGCGACTGTTTCAAGATCCATTGGCGGCGCTTTGTTGGACATCATGCACTAAACTCTACTGCGCTTGGTAAAAGCGTTAACTTCGAAGACAATTTAGCACTCCGCTCGCCAATCCCTTTCTCGTCTTGATACGCGTATGTGTATCTATGTGTGTGTACACACACACACACAGAGAGAGAGAGAGAGAGAGAGAGAGAGAGAGAGAGAGAACGCTAATAGTTAGACTTTTCACATGTTGGTAGTTATGCATTTACAGGTTACTAGTCATACACGAGGATGCCACACTATCACGAAGGAGGCTAGTTTTTTTGTTAAGATGTCAGCAAATCCTACTGTTTGCAAATTTATACAGACACACTCATCTTCAGGCAATGGTGATGGGAGAAATCACCCCGCTCTTTCCGAAATCTTCTTAGTTTGAAACTTTTGGGCAGCCGTCTCCACTCACTAGGGAATAATCCCCACTGGACACAGTGGGATTTACTCTTGAGCAAACATGCACAGGATTCTGCTATGGGATCCCGTATGCGCTTACCTGAGAGTAAACCCCATTGCACTCAGTGGTGCTGACTTCTGAGTAGGCTTGCCTAGGAACTCAAACATTAAATCGTTCACAATAGTGGAAAGGGAGGGAAATCCCGCTCTTATTTTGTTCTATTACTTCGTGAATTTATGGGTTGTTATAATCAAACTTTCTTTAAAAACTCATTTGTTATGCTTAGTGGGTAGTAAAAGAGAATATAAAAAAAATCCCTTTAAAAAAGAAAGATAAAGAAAAGCCTGCATTTAAGGCATCTTAAGCAGTTAACTCTCCAATTGCGTGGGATTGTAGGTTTGGATCAAATTCCTCTTTTACGAAATAAAGCAAAATAGATTTTACTTTAAAACAAATAAGCCTGGAGCCCTTTCTTTCTTTCTTTCTTTCTTTCTTTCTTTCTTTCTTTCTTTCTTTCTTCCTCAATTTAGATACAGGACCATAGTCGGAGTTACCTCTTTCGAATGGTACAGCTTTAAATATTGTTTTCAACATCAAACCTTTTAAAGTTTAAAGGGATTCTATTAGGTTTCGGGAATCTTTATTGGGGGTGTTCTGGGGGGCTGAGATGTGCCTGTTTTCGCCTTTGAGGTGTAAACAATATAGGGCTGCTGGGATGATGGCGTGGGTAGTGGGCGGGAGGAAGAATTTAGATAGACTCGGGGCAAAAGAAGAGAGGTTCGAATACCCCAAGAATTGGGGTCTCTCAGCTTAAATGTGTTGTAGAAATGAACTTCATGTGGGGTGGCGGGAGGGGGGAGAGGAGGAAGCCTATGGGGATGCTTCTGTTTGGAGAGGCGGTGATGGTTAGGACAGAGGTTTTTCGGAGGTGGGGGTCCGAGAGGAAGCTCCGATGTCTTATGATCTGAGGAAACGTCTTCATAATAGTTGCTGACTACGTTAAAGGGTTCCTAGAATTTACCCCCTGTGTGCTTATATCGAGAGAAATTGTCGAGTTAGCATGTTAAAAGCTGAAAGCAACTTTAACAGACGTCAGTATAAAACAGAAATATACTCCCCCCCCATCTTCCACCCCCTTTCCAACCTCACCCCACACACCTCTCAGCGCACACCCAGTGTTAAAAGCACCTGGTGTTCTAAGTTTTCTGGGGGTGGGAGGTGGGGTGGCGGTGCTGAGAATGGGCTATTATGAATGCCCATAAATGTGGCGTTTTGGAGGTGATAAGAGACGCAACATCGCAGCTTCTCCTATGTGGAAGGAAAGGAAGGGAGGGAGGGAGGAGGAGGAGGGAGAACAGGAGGGTAGAGGCGGGGGGGGGGAATAGTAGAGAGAGCCGAAAAGTCAATGTTATATATGAAAAACTATAATCATTTTAATTCAGTATTGACACCCCAACATCTTGCGATAATGGAGTTTAGGCGCCAATCGAAGCCTGGGTTTTTATAGCAGTAGGGGAAAGAACTCGTAAAAACCCTTTAACAGCTTTTTATGTAGTGCGATATAACCAGCAAGAACATCTCCGGGTGTGCGCGTTTTTATTTATTTATTTAGTTGTTGTTTTGTTTTTGTTTTTTATTTTATTTTATTGCGCTTTATAGTTTGTTAAACAGTTTACGGCCCCCTCTTTTTCTGGGGGGAGGTTTTTTTTGTTGTTTTTTAAACAAATGGGCCATTTCTTTCTTTTCGTGCTGATAGTTAAACCTTTATCAATAATAAGGAAATTGATCATTAAAATGTTAAATCTGACTACCTCGTTTGTTTTAAAATATGTTGAGGCTACAGGACGCCGTACGATTTGATAACTTGGTATTAAAATACCAATTACATTTATAGGAGGCTTTTAGAAAAAAACGGGTAGCAATTAAATCCGGCCTCTTTTTACAGTTTTCCAAAGCAACCCTGACATTTTCCAAAGGCTAAAACTGCCTCGTTAAAATAAAATAAAAAAAAATTAAAAAATGGAAATTAACGATGGGAGCGAAGCCTCTCTTTAATTTTCCAACCCTCCCCAAATATCAATCTTTTGGGTGGGCTTAGGTAGATGATTTGTCGTGAGGCGAGAGATATCTCATTAACGTAGATAGTTTAGCATATTTAATCTCTATATTTACCCCACCCCACCCCCCTCGCTCCCTCGCTCTCTCGCTCTCTCTTGCGCGCGCCCTCTCTCTCTCTCTCTCTCTCTCTCTCCCCCTCGCTCTCTCTCTCTCTCTCTCTCTTTCCTCCTCTGTCTCACTCTCCTTTCTGCTCGCAGGCTGTTCAGAGTCCGTGTGGAGTACGTGGAAACCAATAGGATGACGGTTCCGTAATAGATGCAAATGATCCAGAAAAGACACTGGGAAATATGAACAAACTCATTTGCTCCGAAGTAAATCACGGAAAACTGTTTATGAACTGGCACCTCTCCTTGGAAATGTAAAGCGAGAACTCTTTTTAAGTGCCGATTTTTTTTTTTAGGGGGGGCTGAAGAAGAAGGAGGGGGGAAAGAAGAAAAAGGAGAAGAGCGAGAGAGAAAGACAGAGCGAGAGAGAGAAAGAGAGAAAGGAATAATAATAATAATAATAATAACAATCACAACAACAGCAACAGCAACAACAACAACAGCAACAACAACAATAAAAAAGGGGAATCCGATACCATGTACTGTGGCAAAGAGTTTTGATTCAATCCTCGGGATTTTTCCCCCCCTTCCTTCTTTCTTTTAATCTATGTATATCTGTATGTATCCCTGGAAACCACAAAGACTCGTGGGTTAGCATCTCATCGCTTCCATCTGATTCCGTGGCTAAATATCCTGTGGCTTTTTGATAGACCCTCACCTTGTTACCTGCCTCTTTACCTATTTAAAACAAGCTATTTATATGACAATGAGCTCCTATTTCGTCAACTCCCTCTTCTCCAAGTACAAAACCGGGGACTCCTTGCGCCCCAACTTCTACGACTGTGGCTTCGCCCAGGAGCTCGGAGGGAGACCGACGGTAGTGTACGGGCCGAGCACCGGGGGCACCTTCCAGCACCCCACCCAGATCCAGGAGTTCTACCACGGAGCATCGTCTCTCTCCAGCTCCCCTTACCAACAGAATCCCTGCGCCGTAGCGTGCCACGGGGACCCCAGCAACTTCTACGGCTATGACCCGTTGCAGAGACAAAGCATCTTCAGCGCCCAGGAGTCCGACCTGGTGCAGTATCCCGACTGCAAGCTCGCCTCCGCCGGCCTGGGAGAAGAGGCGGACAACTCGGAGCAGAGCCCGTCTCCCACGCAGCTCTTCCCGTGGATGAGACCGCAAGGTGAGGAGGCATCCTAGAAAGGGCCCGCCGCCGCCCAGCCACGGCCGAGGCATTTTCTGAACCCATAAAACTAGTTAGCCCTCCTTTTTTGCCCACCTCTTCCACGATCTTCCTCCCTCTCCAACTCCCCTCCCCTCGCCCCCAACCCTCGGTTACTTTTTACTGTTTTATGAGCGTAAACTTTTGCACCTCTCAATTGCTTTATCGCTTAATTACCCTGAAAGGGGAGCCTTTTTCTCCTGAATGGGGAGAACTGGACTTCTCTCCCCCCCTCCCCTCTTTATTTCAGTGTGTGAGAAGGCTTCCCTAAAGTTTATGGTACTTTTACAACCTCCGAGACCCCCTTTTTGTGTCTCTCCTTCACCTCCTCCCTCCTTCCTTTCCTCCCTCCCTCCCGGGCCCTTAGTTGTTATCTTTTAACCCTCTGGAGAGCTGGTGGGGTGTAGGAGACGGTGGTGGCATTTCCACACACACACACACACACACACACACCTCACCCTCTGTATAAAGGAACTGGCAAAAGAGGGTTCTTGCAAGTAAACTAAGATGCTGCTCAGGGGCGCGCGGGTGGGGGGGCTGTTCGCCAGAAAATGACCCGGTTAGGGGGAGAGAGGAGGGAGTGTTGGGAGCAATATTTCCTTTCAAGAAAGTAGGCTGGTATTGCAGGGGGGGCGGCTAGAGCGCATTTGTGGTCCTCGATGTCTCCCTCCACCCTTCCCCGGATAATCACCCTCCCCCTTGCAACGTTAGAGAAGGGCAGTTCCTCCCTGCCTTTGTGTGTGTGTGTGTGTGTGTGTGTGTGTGTGTGTGTGTGTGTGTGTGTGTATGCATCCCTCCTCTCTCCTGCTCTCTCTGCCCCCAAAGCAGTTTTATGTGTCTTCTCTCAACCTCCCTTTTTCCCCTCTCTCTCTCCTTCTCTCTCTGTGTCTCTCTCCCCCTCCCACCTCCCTCTCGCAACACCCCAGCAGCCGCCGGACGGAGGAGAGGCAGGCAGACGTACAGCCGCTACCAGACCCTGGAGCTGGAGAAGGAATTCCTTTTTAATCCTTACCTGACCCGCAAGCGGAGGATCGAGGTGTCGCACGCTCTGGGACTAACCGAGAGGCAGGTGAAGATCTGGTTTCAGAACAGGAGGATGAAGTGGAAAAAGGAGAACAACAAGGATAAGTTCCCCAGCAGCAAATGCGAACAGGAGGAGCTGGAGAAACAGAAAATGGAACGGGCGCAGGACGCGGAGGAGGCCGGAGAAGCACAGACGGGGGACAAGAAGTAGGAGCTGGAAGAGTGGACAGGCAAGCCCCAGGAAAAAAGGAGAAAGAAATAAAGAAAAAGCCCCAACCTTTCGTCCTTCCATTAATGCCAGTTAATGTGAGAGGTGGTTGGGGTGGGCTGGGGTGGGCTAGGGTGGGGGGAATCTCAACACTGCTTAGGGGAGGAGGGGGGAAAACTCCCCTTTTATTGCTGTAAAACAATATAGCTGTGAGCGTCCTCTTCTCCTGGTTGTCCTTTGATACCCACAATGAACTATATCTATATTTAAAAAAAGAAAAAAGAAAAAGAAGACAGATTCTTGGAGTCTTTTTAGCCTTGTTGCTCTTTTTTGCGTTTTCTTGCCAGTTAAGAATTAGTAATAGTGTAATGCAATAGCTTCTGTTAACCATGACTGTGAAAAGGATTTCCTTCCCTTCACCCCCGTCTCTCTCTCTCCCTCTCTCTCTCTGCCCGCCTCCCCATCCTTCCTTCGCTCCCTCATTAGGAGACACACACTTCTCAGTGCTGTGGAAACGATGTACAAATGATATACTGCACTTTGGGAAGACTTACTTTCTTCTCTGCCTTTCTTTTTTTTTTTAACTTTCCCCTCTCTTTCGCTCCGTCCTGCCCACTCATATTATATATATATAAATATAAATATATATAGAAATTATGTGAAAATGATACATAGTGCACTTTTAAATCAACATCTCTCATCTCTTCTCCCCCCTCCTCCCTCCTCCCTCCCTCTCTCTCTCCTCTCTTGTTGTGGTTAAACTCTTCAGGAGGTAGCTCTGAAAACACACACCCGACAACATGAAACTGCCTATTTATGCTGTAGTCGTCTCTTTTTTTCCTGTGGTTCATTTCCCCCCTTCCTATTTTTGGGTCCCGTTTTTGGCTTTGTTTCTGCGTTTGTCTTTTTAAGTGTATCTTTTAAAAAAAAGGAGGAAAAATTAAATAAAAATTAAATAGAGAGGTCCCCCGTCCCCTTTTCCTTTTAGTTAGCATGCACACAGTGGAAGAAGTTGTAAAAAAAAAAAAAGTATTTCCCCTCTCCCTGGGTTTTTTTTGGGTTTCTTTCTTCCCCCTTAGGTTTACTGTGGAAAAACAAAAAGAGAATGTATACTGTATCCGTGAATTACTTTATGGGGAGGGCGGGGATACTAATGCTATATTTTGTTGTTCTCTCTTCACTTTGTTCTATTGTCGAAGCTGGAAGCGGCGGAAGAAAGGAGTTACAATAAAGTTTACAAGCCACAATTTCCCCCGTGACATTGTTCTTTTCTTCACCCTGCCTTAAAATTTCCTCTGGGACGTCTTGGAGAGAAAGTAAAAAAACCCCAGTCAAAACCCCCAAAACCGACCCAGCTATTCCTACTGTCACCCAAGGAAGCCTTTGGAGAGACACCGAAGGAACTCGTGGCTTCTGGAGAACATTGCACCTGAAGCGGAGCAAGGGCTTGCGAAGCAGGGGGAAAGCGAAGGGGGAGACTTGGTTGTCCTTTTGAAAAGTACTGCAAGCATGTATTTCATGCCCTGTGATGATGGGGAGGTTTGATGGAGGCTCTCTGTGCCAGGAAACTTCTAAGTATGTGTTTGTTTGTTTGTTTGTTTGTTTGTGTGTGTGTGATTGTGTATGTGTGACTGTATTCTGTCACCGCTGGATTCCAGCTCCCTTGTTCCTATGGTGGCGATTCGCCCCCTTCCCCTCTCTGGGTCTCTCGGAGTCTGTGGCACGTTGTCAGTTTGGCTGCCCTCGGCCCCCTCCAATGATGAGCGTAAGCATGATGTATACAACCTTCCTATCCGCCGCCCCCTCTTTTTTTGCAACTTAACCTTGAAAAGAAGGACCTCTGCCAATCTCTTAACTGCAAGGCCATCTTTACTCTTATTTGTCATAGAAGGCTTTGATAAGTTTCACTGGAAAGTGTGCCTTTCCATTTCTCCCTCCCCCTCCCCCTTTTCTTTTGGAAGCCTTCCTTGCTTCTCCAGCAGAAAGCAGAGTAACCAGCTGGTCACATTTTCCTTCTCACTGTAATTGAGTCCAGCAGAAGAGCTGACACGCTTAAATAGAGATCTGTTGTAATCTTTCCTCCTCCCTCCCCTTCTTTCCCCCCTCCTCCTCCTCTTCCTCCGCCACCAGAAAAAGCAAAGCCAGCTCCGAGACCCAACGCCTGTGGCAGTGGAATAAATTACATGCATAACTGAACGGCGTTTAGAAGGGGAAATAGGCAAGCTGGGGGGGGGCGGTCAAAAGAGAAATATTAAGTATCACTGCGGTGGGGGGCCGATTTGTTGGCGGCAGTCAGATGGTGAGTCCTTTTGTCTGTGTGTGTGTGTGTGTGTGAGAGAGAGAGAGAGAGAGAGAGAGAGAGAGAGAGAGAGTCAGTCAATGGAACTGTATAGCATATCTAGAGAAATCCGCCCCGAGGTCGTGGGATAGGGAGGGCTATATACCTAGTCTGCCTTTTTATCGTGTATGTGCGCGCGTGCGCGCGTGAGAGACAAACAAACAAACAGAGAGAGTGTGTCTGTATGAGAGAGAGTGAAAGTATGTGTGGGAGAGTGTGTTTGTGTGTGTGGGAGAGAGGGGCAGGGAGGGACTGGGGAAGGGGAGGAGGAAAGTAGTCTACTCGTGATCAAAAAGGACAGTTTCCTACTTTTACCTGCTTCTTTATAGAAGAAAGAAAGAAGGTATACTATCTGGCAAGAGGGGTCTCCTATGCTAGCCTCACTGGAATGAAGGCAACCCACGCAGACTCCCATTCATTGCGTTGAAGCTTGCCCGGGAGAACTTCCCGCTAGCTGTTTTTACCGACAGAATGGGTCCTCCCCACCCCCCTCCCTCCTTTTTCCACTGTATTTTTCTGCCTCCTTCTCCTCTTCCCATCTCTTCCCCCCTCCCCCGCCCACCTTGCAGGTCTCTCTCTTCATATATTCTTCTTTTCTGTACTCTCTTACCCTACCGCCCCCCCTCCCCGTCCACAACCACTGCGCCCGCTTTTCCTGCTAGTCTTACTTGAGCAACTGATATAACCGGTGGCTTATTGACTCGTGTGCACATTTCGTCTCCTTCCCGCTTCTATCTTGGGAGGTTTTGTATCCTATCATCAATAATGCATCGTATTTTATAAATCCCAACCAGTGCTCCATACTGTGTTTTCTCTCTCTTCCTTTTCCATATTACAAGGGTGGGGGGGACGCAGCTTGGGAGGTGAAGGATGGGGGGGGAGGGAGCGTTGGAGGGGAGGGAGGAAGCTAGGCGCGGATTGGCTCTGCCCGAATCACGTGGACCCGAGTCACATGGCCAAGGGAGGAAAAAGGGGGTCCTTTTTGGTGTAAATCTGGAGTCTAATTCCGTAATATATCACGGTACCTCGTAAAACCGACACTAAAACGTCCCGGCCTACAAATCACCCGGCCAGATTATGAGTTCATTGTATTATGCGAATGCTTTATTTTCTAAATATCAGGCCGCAAATTCGGTTTTCCCCTCCGGAGTGTTTCCTGAGCAAACTTCTTGCGCATTCGCTTCCAATGCCCAGCGCAACGGGTATGGCTCGAGTTCCACGGCCTCTTTCGCTGCTTCCATGCCTGGTCTGTACCCCAACGGGGGAGGCATGCACCCCCAAGCCCCCGGCATGTATTCCAGCAGCTACGGGCTGGAAGCCGCCTCTTTCAACATGCACTGTTCCCCTTTCGAGCAAAACCTCTCCATGATGTGTCCGGGAGACGCGTCCAAGTCCAGCTGCAACAAAAACGACCAGAGAGACGCGGACTTGCGGCACGAAAACAACTTGCGGATATATCCTTGGATGAGAAGCACAGGTGAGAGTCCTCTGAGGTGGGTGGGTGGGGAGGGGGCGAGGAAACCTGGGGGGGGGGAGATGCTATAAATGATTTTGGTGGGAGGGGAAGTTGTGTTTGGGGATGTGCGGACGGGGGGGGGAGGAAAGAGGACGGTGCTGAGCTCTCCTTTTATGACGTTTGCCTCCAAAGGAATGAATCTCTCTCTTCTCCTCTCTCTTTCTCTCTGAGACCCCCCTCAAGGAAGCAACCCTTTCATACATACATACATACACAAACAAACAAATAAGCAGCTTAAATATTTATTAGCTCGGCTGCTCCTGCTGCGGGCTTCCTCTACGCAAAGGAAGATAGTGTGTTGGGATTACAGAGCTGTACGATAATAATAAAAAAGTGGGGAGAGAGGAAAGGAAACCCACCCTTCAAGTCTCTCCCTCCCCGCGCCATATATGCATATGTTTATTTATTCCTCAACGGTTCCAAAGAAAGGAAACTTGGGAATAAGTTTCCATGGAATACGGCTCAGGGCGTTGTGGTGGGTGTCGTTTGGTTTTGCTGGGGGTGGCTGTATACAACGTTAGCCCTTACTTTCAGTAGACCCATTGGAATGAACGGGCCTGTCTGTGTTCGTCTCGTCCATTCATTTCAGTGGGTCTCTCCTGAATAGGACGGACGTTGGACACGACCCCAGGAAGAAGAAGAAGAAAGACGCAAGGAGGGAGGCAGGAATCGAGTAGGGGCCGGGCAACACAGAGGAGTGTGCGGTTGTTGTCGTCGTTCCGCGATATTAAGAGTTTCGCTTAATTTGCTCAAGCACCGCTGCTAAGTCGACATTCCTTCGGAACTGGAGTTGCCAGCAAACATGTCGCCCGTCTCTTCCTCTCGCTCTTCATCAGAACCTGCGGGGGCCCCCGGGGAATTAAATGACTTGTTCTGGAAGAGGAAATCGGAAGGGAATGGAGTGATCAAAGGAGAAAGCGGAGGGGCGGGGGCGTACAGTATATCTCCCCTCCTCAAATTTGCTTGTGGCACTTAGGAGCAGAAGCGTGGAAAAAAAGCTGCAGTCCTATATACCCAACTGACTTGGTAGTAAGTCTTACTGAACTCACGGAGACTTACTTCTGGGTAGGGGTGTACTGGGCTGCACTGTAAGTGGCTGGTTTACATTTGTGACTCTGGTAGGGCGCCAAAGGTTTCTGTAGCAGGAGGACAAATACCTCGGGCTTGTTACATCTAGCTTCCCCCCCTCCCACCAACCCCAATTGTGTGTGAATCATTGACAAGAACCAACCCTGTAATCAATCTGTCTGTCTTTCTCTCTGTCTGCTCTTGGCATTATTCTTAAAGCCAACGTGGGACATTTGTTTTCCCTCTAAATTTGCCAAGGCACCTTACGAAACAGAGAGGGGAGGGGGTGAACCCACCGCAAAATGGTGTTTGATGCACAAACCTGCTTACTCATATTAGATGCCCATAAGCCTATTGAATGATGCCAATGCCCATCTTATTACGAGAGCGACAGAGGGGCCAGATAAACAGCCCCTGTTTTCTTGGTTGCTAAGGCTTAGGTGATGCCTACCTCCACAACCAGCGCTAATTGACACCAAATCCTGCAACGGGACCAGTAGAAATGAACATCTTAATAGGACCAGCCACAATCAGCTTTGCTGGATGAAGGTTTTCGAGTTGCACAGAACGCTTCTTCAGGCTTGATGTTCCAGGGGAAATTAATCAGAAATGGAGAAATGCAGTGTTAAGTTTCACTTAAGCCTGTAGACTCTTGGGTCTTAAGTTACCCAGGAAAATCAGGAGGTGGGTAGAAGGGGTAAAACATCGGAAGATGGGGCTATTGAGCTACCCCCCACCTGATGTGAAAGGGATTACAGGTGTAGGAAAGACTTCTGCTGGCCTTCTAGCAACTGAGCAAATTGTAATGTTTTCATTTTGTTACCAGCGTTGGTATTAACAGGATGCCCGTGCCCACTGTCGTTCTTGCTAGCGAGTTCCGCGTTTGCTCTTTCTCCAAGGCTGACCACAAGCGCTTTTAGGTAGCTGGGAAATGTGGGGAGAGACTTCTGGAAAACCTTCGCAACACTTCCCCGTCCTCCGGACAAGCTGAGAGCAAAGGTGTTGTGGTACGACTAATAGTATAGAAAAAAAGGGCAATGTGAGGGAGGGCGCAGGGCAATGAAGAGTATTTTGCCAGTGGCCAGTTGCAAAATCCTTTATTATTATTTAATTGCATGGCAACACACACAAATAGGTAGAAGATGAACAGGTAGAACTATATCTGCTGCAAAATGTAGGGCAGTTAGGTTAGGAGCCCTGGGTAGTGGAAATTACTGAAGGAACTCTACCAACCCTTCCTCTCGCCCACCCCGTCCACATCCCCTGCGATTTGCCAGGCAAGTCCTCTGATACAGTAGTGTGATAAAGGAGTTATCTTTAAAGGCACATCGTCTGCGACGCAGCTTTTTAGTACTCTTAGGAGGGCGAGAGCAAACATTCCAGGCCGGGACTATATGCAGATTGCAGCAAAGCAGACGTGGAGGGAGGGGGGGGGGAGAAGAGTGGGAAGGAAAGAGGCACATCAAAGCAAAGTTCTCAAAGACCTAGCCTAATAGGTTGGTTTCTCCTCCCTTATTACCTGATCCATAAACTGTGGTTTACAGATGATATATCAAAGCACAATTTTTGTGTGTGCGCGCGGGGGTCTGGAGTGGAGTGGTGGGAGACACGGCTTAGAATAACCCTCTCCTTTCTCCCCACTTCATTTGAAACACAGTGGTGACGGGTTGGGGGGGTGTTTAGGGAGGAGGGGGCAGAGTGTCGTGTGGGTTGGTTAGGTGCTGAAAAGGACTCTGAAAGATCTGATTGCCGTCTGTAGAAGACGACGCGGTATCGTTGCTAAGGGTGGCTTCCTTGCCAGTTCCCAGAACTTACATAGGCCTTAGATCCAGCTAGAGAAGGTTCTTCCCCCGCCCGCCCGCCTCCCTCTGTTCTCCACCCCCACCCCCAACCTTCCGTCTTTCTTGTCTGCTGTTGGGTTGGATCTGGGCGATTCAGTTGGCGAAAAGAGAATGTGTCTTGGTTGCCCTATTCAAGAGAAGTTTATGGTGCTCCCTTCAACAGATTTTACAACCCACATTCCACAGACGTCTTATCCCCCCTCGCCTTTTCAGTCAGGCGGACTTTTCTACGACTCTTTTCTTGAACAGAAGACTATCGCCGCCGCCCCGCCGCCCCCTCCCTCCCCCCTCTTTTTTTTGTAAAACAGCAAACACTTCTCAAACCTCCAGAAAGTTTCAGATGAATGATGTAGCCTCCTTTGGCTGGACAGAAAAATCTATCTGCTCAAAAGCAGGAGTATCGATTCGGTTACGGGATCGTACCCACAAGCGGACTCTAAGAAATGACAGGGAAATTGATTCCTGGTTTGAATCCAGATTCTTTGGAGGCCCGTGTAAAATAGTTGTGGTCGGTGACATGCACGCCTCTTCCTTTGAGGAGTTCCCATGTCCACATACTTTGTCCAGCTTCCGAATTCCCTAATGGAGGGGAGACCAATTTTTCTAGACACTCGGAGAGAAATAAAACACAAGTTGAATTAGGAAGGAAGTAACATTACCCGCGCATTAGCATTGCTGGCTTCCAGAAGCTTACCAGATGTGGAGATGTTTCCAAGGAATTTAAACCCATTCCAATATTTGCTGCGTGATTAAGAATTAATCTCACACTTTTGGAGAAGGGAAATAACGCACCTTTTGATAATAATACTTTCCCCACACGCATAAATCTCAAGTATGGGGGCTGGGTTTGAGGTGTGTGTGAGATATATCTGGACATTTAAAAACATCGGGTTTTGCTTGGGCAAAATGTGAAGCAGTAACAAACGTCCTAAATTACGCTTGAAGTCCTAGGCATCATTTACCCGAGAAGAGGACCCATTACACTAAATGAGACTTACTTCCGAGTAAACAGGGGACAAGCTCAGTCTTCGCTGCTGATATATCTTGAGAATGTAGAACTGCAAACCTAAAAGGCTACAATAAAGCCTTTGGGAGGAGGCATTCTGGTAATATCCATTATACTTCACGTTACTCTTCCTTTTATTTCGAGAATAATCGCTTGCTAGTCCGCACAGGCAAAAAATAACTTATTCTTGAGGTGCCATCCTGTGCGCAATCCTATGCATGCCTACTCAGAGTTAAACCTCATTGAGTTCAGTGCGACTTACTTTCAGGTAAGCCTGCATAGGAGATCGCAGCCTACAGACTAAGGTAGCAAGCCTAACCTTGTCCTGTTGAATTTAAAGCGGCTTGCTTCAAGGTGATTGGAGTTAGGAACAAATTTAACGCGGACAATCTTTTGTGGATTATGATACAGTACATTCCTTCCTGAGTTAAACTCTAAATCCAACCTTTATTTTAAAACAAACAAAGAAACGCTTCTTGTTATAACAAGGCAGACTTAATTTAATTCGAGTTGATTTGACCAGTACAAGTGGGCAGTGAATCCGGTAGGGATAATACAAATTAAGAAGAGAAAATCACAAAAGAAGCAGCGAGCGAAAGGGAACTGACGAGATTCTCATTTATTGTTTCACAGGGACTGACCGGAAGAGGGGACGCCAGACCTACACCAGGTATCAGACGCTGGAGCTGGAGAAGGAATTCCACTACAACCGTTACTTGACCAGAAGGCGACGCATCGAGATAGCCCACGCTTTATGTCTTACAGAAAGACAGATCAAAATCTGGTTCCAGAACAGGCGCATGAAGTGGAAAAAGGAAAACAAACCCGCAGGCCCCGGATCAAACGTCCCAGAAAAACCAGATGCTGAAGAAGATGAAGAAGAGTGAAGGGGGAAGAAGGCGGGGGAGAGGGGAGAGAGTGAGAGTGAAAGAGAGAAAGAAAAAGAGAGCGCGAGTGAGTGAGAGAGAGAGAGAGAGAGAGATGTTGGTGAGAAGAAGCTTCAGCAAAAACTGAACTGTACTGTCCAGAAAAATAAAAGGAAGAAACGGAATTTTAAAAAGTGAACCAATAAAGACTGTACATTAAACAAGAAACGAAAACATCTAAGCAAAACTGAAAACAAAAACAAAAAAATATGAATGGTCTATTCTGTTTCTCGACACTTGGAAAACTACCTATATTAACATTTCTCTGCTTTGTTTTTTGTACAACAAAAATGAATAATAAATCTACCTATTAAATGTCTCTTTAGAAGCAAATATAGATAATGTTTTGTTCCCCTGTGTGGGTATTCATATAGTCCCAAGTATTTGTAAATCTTCCTGTTTAAAGAAAAGGGAGGGTCTTTTTCCCCCTTCCCTAATGTAACTTTTTTTTTTATTAAGAAAATGGTATATGAAGTGAAAATGTGGACGTGGTTAGCACTTTTTCTTAGAAAAACGTATGAAGGGAACACAACGCTTAACATTAAGACGACTGTTGTACATAATTCTAAGAGATTTCCCCCTTTTTATTCTCCCCTCTCCTCTTCGTAGATTTGTGCCTCTACGTCTGGTTACCGGTGCTGTATTTTTATTTTTCCTTATATTTTCCTTTTGCTTGTTTATTTTTTTTAATTATTTTTTGGTTGGTGTATATTTTTACATGTTGGACAATGGACCACTTCCTTATTGCCGTTACTAGAGGATCTGAAAATTAATATTGTGCTGAGTAAAACTGATGTATATGATAGGTAGCAAATAATTTTAATAGTTGGCCAAGCCTTTTTATTCGTATTATGTGATTACTATGCGTAGAGAGAGGGAAAAGAATCATTAAAAAAGAAAATAACCTTACTGAATAGACTGAAGTCGTGTCCATTAATGGGTTTTTCTTCATTTTGGGGGAGCTGGGTGGATGGGGTCAGTTGCTCCCTGTGAGCAGAATCCATGGGAGGGGGGCGGTGGTTCTTGTAGAAGTCCTTTGTCATGCACAGCCCCTTCCTTGTTTCACTTGCGCAGGAGACCTTCCTGCTGGATTGTGGCCTGGGGGAGCGAATCTTAAAACGTAAAAGAAAGGGGGGGAATCTTTCTACTTGCAAACTATCTTCATGCCGTCGTTTTTATTTCCTTCAAGGTGCGCAGTATGTGTGTATATATTCAGATATGTGCGTGCGTGCACATATATATATGTGTGTGTGTGTATATATATATATATATATATATATATACACACACACACACACACATACACATATATACACATACATACATACACACATATATATATATATACACGCACGCACATATGCACACACATATCTTAATTCTACCGTAATAATGTGCAACTCTGTGTTGGCCATACAACTTTAACCACTGTTCTAGGAGAAAGAACCGTGACTAAGAATGTAAGACGAGTTGCGTCTATTTGATGATTACATCGGTGGTCCATCCTTCCCGCTTTGATCTTTCCAGACTCCAAATAAGCAGGAAAAGAAGAAATAACAGCATCAACAACCACATAAGACTTCCTCGATTTGAAAAAGCGAAGCCACCGTCTCAGTAGCATTGGGTGTGCTTCCTTGTTTTGCGTTTTTATCGCCTTATTCGGCCTTTTTTTATTATGGGAAAGCGTCGCTTCCATCATTAGAGTCAAGTAACGCTCAACATCAAAACAAATATAAAATTAAATGGAAGCAATTAAACGCAGGAAAATAAACAAGGCAAAAACCATATTAACCAATTTCGGGCCCTTTCAACACGTCCTTCTGTTTTACACGTTACACTTTCACAGAATCTAGCAGTTGGGATTTTTCAGTGCTCAGGGAGGTGTTGTACATGGGTGTATTCACCCTTTTAAAAAAAATATACCCCGCCTTTCAACCTAGGACACTCAAGATGGCTAACAAGACAGCCAACAATGAGAAATATATATAATAATATATAGATAGGTTAATAATATATAAAGAGACACCTGCCCGTTACGACAAAGAATTTAAAATAAAATGGACAAAAAATACATAGAAATTTTTGAATTGTTTTCTTTCCTTCGTTCGTTCTTCCTTTCCCCACACAATAAAATTGAACTGCAAACCATTTACAAACGCGCGCGCAAGTGTGTGTGTTTTAGTTTTATTTTGACAAAGAAAATCATTCCACAAGAGTGTATTTTCCCTCAGAAATAAAAATATTTTTCAAATAAACAGGAAGGTTTCTGCTATGCTAACCGTATTTGTTCAGAAAGATATTCCAGGGAAAATACTTCCCAATGTCGCTCCAAACGACGCTCTAAGAGTTTGAAGAAGCAGAAATATAATTATATCATCTCTCTCTGCCTATATCTAGCTACCTACCCATAGAACAAACGCACACAGAAAGATAAACATACACACAAATAAATAATATATGTGTTTATAGAGGTATATGCGTGCAATATTTACTATATGGACAAACACAATACATGCGTAGATAGAATTAGCATAGGTTTACGCCATGGCTGGGTGGTTTATATAGGGATATATGCACAATCACACGAATGTATGTGATTGTGCGTGTGCGTGTGTGTGTTTGGGTGTCTCCTTTAAAACAGGTCATATTTGCAGCATCCCCCGTCCTTAAAATAAAAAAGGTCGGTACCCCACAAAAGCGGAAATGTATATTTGCTTCTCTAGCAATGCAGATTACTGCAAACGACACCTTTTGCGGCGGTAGAAGCGTGTTCTAGAACAGCCGAACCGCCCACCTCGCCAGATTTTGCTGCATTGGACCAGTACTATTGTTTTCGTGGCATGTACCACTGCGGTAGTGGACGTTTCCGAGCGCACTAGTGCGCCTGTGCATATACGCCTGCCTGTTTTTTCCTCGCTTCCTTGTCTATAGATGCGCGTAAGCATGCATACTTCCGCACACACCTATACAGAAACGCCCTACACGTATATATATATATACATATATGCATATACATACATATATATATATATGCATGCATACACACATAGATACGAGCTGGTATATATGTACGTGTCCATACATCTCTCTCTCGGATACTACCTGGGACCTTCAATTATTTTAAACTTCGATTGGGGGTGTGGCGGGGAAGAAAGTCAACATTTTAATTTCTTGGGCAATTCCCGCAAGGGAAATCGAACAGCGTTAAGAGGAAAGCAACAATATAAACAACAACCAGATTGAACTATAGAGCGACATATTTCGACCTTCCCCACTCCACACAAAAAAAACCCCACATTAAAAATAAACCGGAGGTGGATCATCCCCTTCGTCATTAAAGACTACAGGTAAATAACACAATTGCAGAAACCTGAAGCTCAAGGATGTTGCCTGAGGTCTGAAATGCACTTGCAATTCTTTAGTCTTACAAAAGTAGGTTCCTTTAACCTTTCGTATATAAAGGCTTGTGCAAGACCCCCTGCCGGGAATGTGGAGGGGGGAGCCGCAGAATCTTTGCATATTCTTCTCTTTGGGTTTTTTTTAAAAAAGAAAAGATGGCGGCTGAGAAAAAGACTGCTGTTAAAGCAGTCATGAAGAAATGCAATAAATTCCTTGTTGTTTTATGAAAATTTACAACTTTGTGATAGAACTTTATGAGTGGCTGGGTTCTGCGATTGGCCAGAGCTGGTCATGTGGACTGCTAACCGTGAACATGAACTTTTTATGATTTCCCATGTGGTTATTCTACCATTCTTTTGGCCGCTGTACCTTGGGTCGGATCACTGTCCTCTGTAGGACTCTCGCCTCTTTTTACATTTTTTTTTTTTTACTTTCATGTATAAGCTCGATAGGGCTAAAAATAGAGGAGAAGGGGAAGCGCACGCACACACATTACACACGCACGCACGCACACACATCTAGGAATGAGTTCAGATTGCTAATATTATCGATCCTCCCTCTTCCTTTCCTAATCCTCTGTGTTAAATTTCCGTAGTGATTTTTTTTTTTTTAAAAAAAATTTTGGTGTTGTTGTTGTTCTATGCCTAGTGATGGAGAGGGAGAGGGAGAATCAGTACCGGATGGAGGCTTGTGCCATTTTTCAAAGAGGGAAGTTACTCCATTTTCTGTGCAAAAGGACTCGGCAAAGGAAAAGCTCTCCGAAGTCGCAATGGACGGCTATCAGGTTGGGACAATATTTGTCAGCTTACACATTAAAAGCAAACGCAATCCTGTCCCCCTCCCTCCTCCTCTCCACCTCTTCTTCTTCCTCCTCCTCCCTTAATCCACAGAACGACGGGCGCCAAAAGGTAAGTGAATGTATTTATATTTTATTCGAGTTTATCTTATTATTATTTTTTATTCTTTCCTTTTTAAAAAGAAAAAGGTTGCACATACGGTTTTGCCTTTCCCTTTCTATCTTAAATAAGGCTATGGGGACGCAGGGAAAGAACGAATTCACAGTAGGGAAATAGATATTAATAAATGTACATTTCTGTAAGGTATAGAGGGAGGGAGGGAAGGAAGGAAGGAAGGAAGGAAGGAAGGAAGGGGGAAGGGAGTGCAGTTGCTGCTAAATAAGATTTGAAATATTGATGTCACCTGGACTGGAGGTCTAAGGAGAATAGCTGAAGGTAGCTGCATAGTCAAGACTTAAAAATAGAAAAATAACAACCCACCCTTAATTATTTCCCTACTCCTTTAAATCTATTCCTCTCCCCACGAAGAACGATCTAACCAGACTTGCTTGTCATCGAGTACATCCACTCAATTTAGGAAGTTTTGCACAGAGGCCAGTTCGACGAGATGCTTCCCTCCAGGGTGTACGGAGACGACATAGGCGATTTCTCTGCGAAGGAGCTGTTCTGTACAATGGAAGCGGGTGGGTGGGTGGGAGAGCGGGGAGGGGGCAGAGGAAAGACAAAGATAATAATAAAAAAATTAATAACGAAAAATAGTAATACTATACGCAGTGCCTTTATTTTATAATAAAGAGGGGTTAGATTCGAAAACCCATAAAATGAAAGATTACGAGGAGAGGAGACTGCGATACACTGTTATATGGTCTTTCTAAAAAAAATTAATAATCGGTATATGTGAGTATTAAAAATAATAGTTTACATGTGTTTAATATATATTGTGTGTGTGTTCCTTCGGCGTTTTAAACACTGGTTTTTCCTGTGTTTAGGTAATTGAGAATGTGTTGTATAAAAGGAGAGACTCGTATACACTACAATTGCTACACCTGTTTTGGAAATTGGGATCGGGGCTGAGAGACAGGATATTTTGAAATATGTCATACCCTTTTTACTGTGGTTACCAGTACTGTGTTCATGTTTGTGCTTAAAAGAAAGAAAGAAAAAAGAAACCTGGTTATTATTATTTGAAATACGAGTGTTGCATGCACAAACGGTCGGTCTCCTGGTAAATTTCGCATTGTGCAGTTAGGTAACGCTTGTGAATTATTATTATTATTTTTTAAAATGTGCACATTTTCTAGCATGTTAACCTTTTTTTTTGTTTGTTTCTGAGTATAATTTCGTTGGAAGCATATCACAGTTAGGGTGAAAATCATAGAGAAAGTTGAAAAGTTGTGGATAAAATTCGTTCTGCATTTTTCATACGTAACTATGCCCAGTCGTCATTTTGCATGCTCTTGCTCCTTTCCTGCGCCCCTCCTTTCTACACACTTTAAATATTTGAGGCTCGAATTTTTTTATTTTATTTTTACCCAATAGGTCTTATTAGTCTTATTAGATGAGCTGCCCTTTGTAACTCAACCTCTGCTTCCTACCTTTAGAGCTCCTGCTCATCTCTCTCAAGGGGGGGGGGTTTGTTAAGGGGAGCTTCCCGGTGGATTGTGCCCATTTATATAAAGCCACTAATTAATGAATTCCTATCGGTTAAACACTACCAAGTTGTTTATCTCCCTCCCTCCCCTTCCTTTAACCCCCCCCCCCAAAAAAAATCAAAGCAGCTATTTCTCTTTATTTTGTCTTAGGAGTTGGCTTTGCAGCGTCTCAGCTTGCTCATTCTATGCTGTTTGCTGCCATCTACCGTCCAACAGAGGAACGATTCGGTTTTTGTTTCCATGTTTTATAATGATTAATTTCCCATGAAAACTAGTTTAAGTAGACCAAGATTTTCATTTTCTACAGTTAATATGTTTTTGTCATGTAATGGATTGGACATGCCTTACACATTCTGGAAACGGAGCTGGAGATAATTCCCATCCATCTCTCCGGGTATATAGCTCGCTCATCATAGTAGACTAGGCTTCTTTTAGTGTTTTAAGTCGTGTGAAATACTTTCACAGCTTTCGGATTTTAGCATTAACATTGCGAGATGGAGGGGTTTGTGTGTCTCTGTGTGCAGAAAACCCACTGAACCTTCTTTAACACGAGGAACTAGTTCTTGAGTTTTGGTAAGTTGATAAAATCGGGTACTTTTCTCGGCGTCTTAAAATAAGTGATCATTCCTATCAAAGTTGCTTCTGATTATTTCTCTGCTTTAAGTTATTTATGTTTGTCTTTACTTCTGCTCGCATGATCAAATATCGAGTGGTGAACTGAAGCTAGTGTATATATATATATATATATATATATATATATATATATGTATATTTGTAAACTGAAAATGAAGGATATTCGCATGCTACAGTGCGCTTAGAAAGAACAATTATTCTCTTCACACTTAACACTATCAGAAACTGGGGGGTCGTATTCTAGAACTACCTTTGCTTCTACTAACACAGAACGCAATCCTCCCAGAGGATCTGCTACGGAAACGTCGTTGGCATAAATTGGGCTTCTGCGCCAGAGAACTTTCTGGAAGATTGTGCCCATATTCCTTTAATCCTGACGCCCCCACCCCACACCAAATACAGCCAGCTGACCTCCACGTTCCTATCTGGCTTTGTTGTTTAAAAATCTGTAAAAATGCTTTTTCTCATTATTCCTTTACTACCTTTGCTTTTGGAGGGCAAGGAAATCAAGCAATATGGCGGTCGTTTTGTGTGCGGTTGGTTGTGGGTTTGCTTGTTTGTTTTTTAAAATAACACATTAAAAACTTTACCCCAAAGACTCATTTCCCATTTTTGTTAATTATTAGCTAAACTCTTTTGATAAAACAATGACGGGTGCCCCCTCCCCCTTTTTAGTCCTATGTGATCCCATTAACAAAATTATTATACACTGCAGGGGAAGTTAGGTAAATTAAACGTAAATGACTGGAAATTAAGTTTCAAATGGCTGCCTGCATGGAAAGAGCGAGAGGCGGGAGAGTATATATATAGATATATATGCCTTCAGAGTTCATTGTCTTATACATGGCAACAATGCAGGAAAACATCACTTAGATGGAATTGCAGTAAGGCTATATATGTGACAAAAGGAAGGCTCTCTCTCCTGTGAATAGTTTTATGATCCTGAATAAAAGCAGGAGGCTATTCAGTCCTGTGTGTATCTGTGCTAGTGTTTAAAGGCCAGTCTTCAGTTTATGGTACCAATTTAAGTCTCCTGCCCAAAAGTCCCGCTGGCTTCGCACTTCTCTATGCTGCTGAATTACAACCTCCACGTTAAATAGAACAGCCAGATACTCCTCCTTTTCTTTTCTGGTTAAGAAGAATTTCTCGGTTTGCCTAGGTTGCAGATTTCTGGGCTGCTTTAACTTCGCTTAAACTTCTGCCTCCCAACAAGGCATTCCGAGGCCTGGTGTCTGCCCAGAGAAATATTTGGGTGTTGTTTTAATCCCCTCATTTATCTGTCTCCCCCCCCACACACACACACTCCCCCCTTCTGCTTTGTAAAGTTGGCTGGTATTATGCAGAAGAGGCAGGAATGAGCGGAGAGGAAATGGTGGGGTGGGAAGCAGGAACCTGGAGCATCCCTCCCCCCCCAGCTACAGAGCACCAGCTACACACGTTGTAAATAAGCCCCTTTAATCTTTATTTATTCTCTGCCATTTGAGTTATGCCACACTTTGGTCAAGATGGATTCTCCAAGCTAAGAGAAAGCATGTTAGGTCTCTACAGCAACAACAGGCTACAGAGGAGAGTTTATTTGGGTTATAGAAGGCTGGCGGATGGTTTTCCCAGCGTAACATTGAAAACTGGAGGCCCAGTGTAGAAATCTTCCTACAGACCCACGATTAAAACTCTAATAGTGCCATAGCCCAAACAACAACAACAATAATAATAATAACAACAACAGTAAACATCAGCACATTCTCTTTGTAAGGGTTGCTGCTTACAGGCAGAATGGTTCACACGCAAGAACAAAGATTTATTACCCAACTATTTTTTATTTTATTTTTTAGAAATACCCAAGCTAAAGTTAAATAAAACATTATCCCATTACCCATTGTGACCCCAAATACTTTCAAGAATCCAGACACTTCACTACAGAAGACCGAAGTTGTTGACTTGTAAACAATATTCTCGGTCATAAAATCCCCAAACTTCCTTTTGATTCCACACGCTTAAGACCTGTTATACTATAAGTTCCAAGCCACCTTCCCCTTTAAAAGTCATTTTTAGAGAGTGATTCATTCTTTACAAATGAATCATTAAAAGCTCTTAAATTAATGTTCATCAGTTAAATTGAAGAGCAGTCCTTCCTTGCAAGGGAGGGAAGCATTTGAACGATGGGTAAATCATTATTAGGAGACGAGTTTCAATTAATGACCTTTTATATAAAAAAAGAGAAAATAAAGTTTTTGCAAAATGAACATTAGAGATGATCCGAATTGCACGGATATGTAAGAGGAAAGTCTATTGAGTCACAAAGAGGCGTAAAAAATAGATTTGCATCATATTATAAATGGGATTCCGTGTACTCGTCTCCAAACCCAGCGGATCATAACACTTTCCAAAGTAATATTATGAAAAGTTAAATACAAGTAGCATATTTACTCACTTATTTAACCATCAAGTAGCCAAACTTCACATCTTAATCCATACATTCTTATTAACATGTGATATATGCATGTTTCTAAACAAGAGTTTTAAAGGTCGTGCTCTTTTTTTTCAAATAAGAGGGGAGGGGGGCGGTTGCTTAGGTCCACGTTTCCTGCTCTGCTCCCGTTCCCCTCTGCTTTTCCACGCCAATAAAGCGGTTCTATTTACAGTTCGGATGCACTCTGTACACAAATAGAGGGAGGAGAACCTACAGGGGAAATCTGTTTGTAAGAGAGAGCTTTAAAAACAAAACAAAACAAAAACCCCACCACCCATTTCCTTTGCCTGTTATTTCCTTACATTCTCAGGGAGTGTTAAAACCGCACGGGCTTCCTTGTAATTAAAGCCTAGGCTCCCAACAAATTAAATCGTAATCCGGTACCATTTCACTAATGCTAAACTCTCGACCGAGCAAATTCACACTGGCCATTCTGAAGGGATCGCGTTGCCATGTAAATCTGATCTGAGAGCAATTGAGTATATGTGTGGCGGATAATTCCTGCGAGCAGATTACAGCGTCTGTAATAGAGGAGTGATAGATAGGTGGATTGGATTACAACTTTCATTTGTCCAAATTGCAGCGCTGACCTCTACATTCGGATAATCAGAAGTTGGGATAAACTGGAGAGGTTTGTTTTATTTGCGTTTGCATGGATGTGCAAGGTGGGGGGAGCACGTATGGTTGTTGTGTGTGGTGTGTGGTTTTTTTTTGGGGGGGGGGGGAGTGCCTGGCAGTTACCAGAAGCTGGACAGCTCGGAGACGGAGTTATGAGATGACAGTAACTGGCAGACAATATGAGAGAAACTGGCAAATTACAGTTCCCTTATGAAACACGAAGTTGAAGTATTTAAAAATATTTCTTGAAATACACAGTTGTTCACATTCAAAATAATACAAAACAAAGTGGTGGTCTTGGGGAGTTAGGATTAAATTATATGGCATTACTGTACCCATCTGAAGGTAGGACGAACTAGTGGTTCGCCATGCAGAAAGGTTAGCGTGGGAAGAAGCCATGAAGAGAAATGCCCAAACTTCAGCCATTTGGGCAACTCTTCCAGCCCACTCGTCCATTCATTCATTAGTTTAAAAACACAATATCAGAAGGGCACCGAATTCTGAGCGAGTTTCATTTATCCCTGAGTTAAACCTGTGCCGAACTGAAAAGAAAAAAACAAAACTCCAACGCACAAAGTAGACACAGACAATATTTTCTGCCGGCTCACCTCTATCGACAACACGGGCACCATCTAGCAGATGACCATTCCCAGCTGCCTTAAATATTTTTCTCCCCGATGCCTGGTGATCAATAAGGAGTGTTGTTGGCCGTCAGACCAACCGCTGCCCTTAATTCTAAACTGTCCAAAGACCCGGCCTTAACCACGAAAACGCAAGAGGGCACCGTTCTTGAGAGATATGCGGGAATATAGTTCTAGCTCAGCTCAGCTCCATTCCCACCCATTCATCTTCCGGACTTTATATAAAGGTACCGCAGGAACTTAAAAGTAAAGGGTTTGATTAGGACCCTCGTGACAAAATACGAGTGTGAGTGTGTAAACACACAGAGACACTCTCTCTCTCTCTCTCTCTCTCTCTCTCTCTCTCACACACACACACACACACACACAAGCCATTCAATTCATTAGGATCCTTTATGGAGGGAGACACGAAACAATTTTTCTCCATTCGCCCCCAGGAGGTGGCTTAAAGTTCTTATTTTTTTAAGACGCTCCATAATGAACAGCCCTATAACCCTCTCCAAAAGTATACCAAGATCGGTCGAACTTTTTAATCTAGCGTCCCTCTTCTTCCTATATATGCTTCTATATGAATTTATAGCTCCCCTCCCCCTCCCCGCCATATTCCTGTAAAAACCCAAAGGGTGGGGGGTGGGTGGGGGATAATAACCTCTTCCCCCAACCAAAACACGCTGGAAATTACCAAACTTTTCCAGATGAAACGAATTCCTTTTTTTATTTCCTTTTCCCTCGTGTCCACGACAGCAGCAATAATAGAATCAGTTCTCATTTGTTTTATTCTTCTTGTCTTTCCACCCTCTTCCTCCTCCTCCTCCTCCTCCTCCTGCATTTATTTATTTATTTTCTTCTTTAAAAGAAAAAGAAAACAACAGCCAAAGGAAAGTCCAATTTTTTTAATCGATTTATCTCTTCCTCCCCCCCCCCATCATTAGTATGTGGTTAAGAGGGAGGGTGTCTATCTGTGTTATGTGGGGGTGGAGGGGGCGCGCGTATCTGTTGTTCAAAAGTGATGGTGTTGGTGGCAGAGATGCTTTCGCTGGTTTGTTCTAGGGGGGTCCCCTGTGCAAAGCTAACCCCTCTAGGGTGCGATTTCGCAGTCTTCGACTTCTGCTATTGGTCAGCGCGTGATCAGATGGTTCTCTTTCCTTATGTCCCTGGTTGGCACGCGGCCATCCCCCTTCAGCTAAAACCCAATCTCCCATATACTGCTAATAGCTAAACCGCTTGGACTATAAAACGCAACAAATCATAAAGACCAAGGGAAAGAACAGACGCTGTTCCTCTGCTTTATTATTATTATTATTATTATTATTATTATTATTTCCAATGAGTTCTTATTTTGTCAACTCTACTTTTCCGGTGAGCTTAGCCGGGGGTCAAGAACCGTTTCTGGGACAGCTCCCCTTATATTCCACGGGGTATGCGGACCCTTTAAGGCACTACCCTGCCACTTATGGAACTGGGGGTGGGGGGGTCCCGGATAAAGGTTACCCGGGAGCGCCTTACTACCAGCAAGCCAACGGAGCTTACAACCGGAGCCCAGCCTGCGATTACGGGACATCTGGTTTTTACAGAGAGAAAGAGACAGCCTGTTCTCTTTCGAGTTTAGAGGACCCTGTTCCGTTCGGCCAGGAGCAAGTCCGGAAGTCAGATTGCTCCCAGAACAAACACGCTTTCGGGGAGAGCGAAGACCAGAAGTGCTCCACGCCGGTGTACCCATGGATGCAGAGGATGAACTCCTGCAACAGTAAGTTCCTCTTTTCTCTCTGTTCTCTGTAAGGATGGCCAGACAGACAGACAGACAGACAGACGGATAGATAGGTAGGGAGGGTTCCCTTTCACCTCATCTCTTTCTGAGCAGGAAACGCTGCCCTTCTCGTCTCAGCTTCCAGACAGCGGGAAGCAGAAACTTTCCTCAAACTTTTATCCTACTTAGATCATAACTTCCATAACGAAGGTTTGAGTGTATGTGAGTGTGTGCGCGCGTGTGTATACATATATATTCTTTGCACGAGGTTCCCTCCAGTGAGTTCGTTTCTTTAGCCAACTTTCTGTTATCTGGGGAGGTACGGAGATTATTGATTGACCGGCTCTGTCTTGTGGAAGGCAATGTTAGCTGTCACTCAGGAGGAGTGATTTAGAGACGTGTCTGGTGTACTTACACACAAACACACACACACACACACACACACACACACGCACGATGCAATCCATATCACACTGAAGTCCCCCCCCACCTGAATTTAATGGACTTGGTTTTAGCCCCCTTCTCATATCTCCACACCCCCCCCCACACACACCTTGGCCAATTCATATCCCAGAGAGTGTATTTCTATAACCCAGCCAGTTGAATAATGTCGGAAGGGCTTAAATATTTGAAAGGAGAGAGCTACATTTTTAATGAAACTCACACATAATGAAATGCCTGTCTGGAGAGGAGTTGCAGATAGTTTCTCTTTCACTCACTCACTCATTCCCATACTCTCTCTCTCTCTCTCTCTCTCTCTCTCTCTCTCTCTTCCCCACCCCCACCCCTTCTGTGATCGACCATGGCCCTCCAGGTGCTAGATTTTCCATGAAAACACATTCTTGAAAATGAGGTGGAAACAGCAGCCTTTCCTCCTCCCTTCTCTGTGTTTACACGTATTATACGTTGTCGATCTCAAAAATTCCGGAGTGGGCAGATGTTGGGCGGGGAGGGGGGGGAATCAATAAACTTACCTTATTGCTGAAACTCTGGAATCTATTCCAGTTACCGATAAAATACGCGGGGTGGGGGTGGGGAGGGAAAACAGAAGAGAAGGGGAGAGGAGGAGGAGGGACCCAGTACCTTGCAAGTTTTACATAACAGAAAGGAACTGCCCCAGAAGAAAACTGAAGTAAGGATAGAAAGGGAATTCATAACCTCCCATGATATCTGTCCGGAAATAAGTGCGTAAAGGGGAGGCAAACGCCTTAGCAACTCTCTCAGGACAAAATCCTGCAAGCCTTTCCACTGCGACCCTAAAAACACATTAGCTGGGAAGCTAAGTCTCATTGATTTCTATGCGCCATTACTTCCCAGTGGCACCTCGATCCTGAGCTCATTTACTTTCCAGAAAGTCTTACTGCTTCTCTTCGGTGGGGTTTTCCTTCCAAGCTTTTAAGTTGGCTTTGGGGGACCACAAGCTCTAAGAGTAACGCGTTCCGCTCCCAAACAGCATTATTCCAAAAGTGAAATCTCGCGGAGCCCACGGGGGTTTACTCCCAAGGCAGTATGCATAGGACCGCAGCCTTAGCCCTCCGTGAACTCCGCTCAGTGGGGGCACTAGAGTCCACAAGGCAGGGAAACGCAAGGGTGGGTGGGTGGGGGAAGGGTGGGTGGACCTTTTCTGCTTGGAGGAGCTAAGCTCCATAGAACAGGAACAGCAAGCTTTCGAGTTACACAGATCTCTTCTTCGAGGTGTTTATTATCATTATTTTCTTTTGAAAGGATTGCATGTGTTGATTGGCCAGGCTGCAAGTTTTGAAGCTCAGCCTTTTGGGAGCAGGGATGGGCCTCTCCAGAGAGCATGCTTATGCATGGGGGCAATGTCCCCACACAACTACAACCCAAATGGAGTGCAGGATTATTTTGGAAGACCTTTCGAAAGCATCAAGTGAAGGCAACCCAAACTGAGTTTCTGTTTTCTTGTATGCATCTTCATTCCTTCATTCCTTTAATTTCCTATCCTTTTGGAAGTTTATGTTTACAAAGAGGGCCTTTCGATCGGAGAGATTAGAGGACTGGGATGCAGTGGGGGGGGGGGATGGCCACAAGCAGAGGGGAAATGAAGAGAACACCTTCTCTCTCACACACACAACACACACACACACACACACACACACACACACACACACTGGTTAGCCTAGTAGCCATTGTCATGCATATTTGAAGCTCCCAATAAATGTCCAACGTCCTTTTCAACCAACCCTTGTTTTCCTCCCGTCGTAGGTTCCTCTTTCGGGCCGAGTGGCAGGCGAGGGAGACAGACCTACACCCGTTACCAGACCCTGGAGCTGGAGAAAGAATTCCACTTTAACCGTTACCTGACCAGGCGCCGCCGGATCGAAATCGCCCACGCGCTCTGCCTGACGGAACGCCAGATCAAGATCTGGTTCCAGAACCGAAGGATGAAGTGGAAAAAGGAAAACAAGCTACTCAACTCCACTCAGCTGAGTGCCGAGGAAGAAGAGGAAAAAACAACGGAATGAGAGAGAGATTGCAGAGGAAGGAGGGAGAGAGAAGGAAGACAGCGAAAATGCCAACGGTTGTGAGGGGCTCCCAAAAGGGCAAAAATAAAAGGCACAGCGGAGACACACATTTTTTTTTGTAAAATACCCGAGACTGTATGGAGGTGTTGGCCCATCTTCCTCATGCACCCTCTCTCGCATCCAGTAATCTGTCGTGTCATAATCAAGCTTCTAGTCCAGTTTATTTCCCTATTCTTTCTGTTGGCCCTTCCTCTTCCCCGCCCCCGCACCACAAACGGATTTTTTTTTTTTAGGGTGTCCTTCTTAGGATTCTTGCTAACTCTTGTATTTAAATGGAGGTGCTGCAATATATGTGTCAGATTTTTGGGGTTGTTGATTGTCTTCATTTTGTAAAACAAAAGTCTCATGCACGATTTTACTTATATGTTGCTTTTTTAAAAAAGAAAAGAAGAGTTAAACTAGGTTCTTTGACATTTAAGGGTTGCTGTTGCTTTTTTTTTTAAAGAAAAGATCTATTGAAAAGGAACAATTGCTACCTAAAAAAATATGGTGAAATAAAAAAAATAGGAGGGGTGTTTTTGTTTGTTTTATTTTATTACATTTTTTTGTACAGTGTTGTGTTTGTAGTTTGTGTTAGTTATGGAGATGGAAGTTCTCTAATAAACAGCAAACAAACATGTTGAGAAAAACACTTGGCACGTTCCTATTTTTAGGGTGTGCGTCCTCCTCCCCTCTCCACACTCATATACACACACACACACATAAACACACACAGAGATACTTTTTTCCTGAGGAATTGGTCTACCTACAGAAGCTGTGGGCTTGTTAGGGGGGAAAGGGAACAATAAAAAACCCTGCTGTTTGATAGAAGTTCTCTCCCCTAACCTGAACAGCCATGCAATTTTTTAAGCTTTACAGAAGTTAGCGCTGAAAGATAGATTCGGCTCCTCACACCTCCCACTTCCAATACTCCTCAGCCTAATCTTAAATGAAAGACCTTTTCACCAAGAATATATTGGAGTTGACATTTAACTTTAATATGGATATATTTTATTGTTAACAGCACAAAAGAGTTATGAAGAGGGGGGGAAGCTCACCGCATATATAATAAATCAAGGGAGCAGGCATAACTGTGCCCCCTCCCCAATCATACATCTGCTAGAAGATATCTAACATTTGTATAGCCGCCTTCAAATATTTGGCCCACTTCCTTTCAGCTCGTTCTCCCGCCACCGCCTGCTCAAACACCCCACACAACTACGAGCTACATATAACTCAAAAATTATATTAAAAAGGTGGAACCACAAGCAGTTCGCACTTTTTTGTGTGCACGAAGCTGAAAGGGATATACCAGCAGGAAACTTAACGAATGATTGGAATACCGCTAATCTCTTTCAAGCAACATTATTTTTTTATATATATAATATAGAACCGTACACCTCTCTCTGCCCCCCCAAGTGCCTCCTTCCAACATTTCTTTATATTTTTTTATTGCATGGCGACATGCTTGCCATGGTTAGACAAAGAACAGTTTCCAGAGAGCTCCAGGATTACTTAGGGAAGCTTTGAAACGCAGCTTTTCGCTAATTGTCATTGTCTCTCTCGTTCTGTGGAAGCAAGCGGTCTGCAACTCTTTCTGACTTGCTGTTATTCTGCAACCAAGTTCCCTTATTTTGTTTAAACTCCTCCCCCCCCCCAAAAAAAATAAAGCATCGTGGATTATTATCTTACAGCTTTGGCCACCCCAAATTCACAGGTACCTCAACACCTCAAACCTCCCCCCCTCCAAATTATGGTGTTAATGGCAGACATTTAAAAAAATCAATTCCAGCAGAAGCCTCGCAGCTGTAGGACACTTATCCTTATTGCTACTCTTTTCATTGGCCGTAATTATTATAATTATATGTCACTTTGAATAGGGCTCATAATTTCCAATGGGTTCCAGGCTGACTTCTCGAAATTCCTGAGCGTTCTTCGAGAAAAAAACAAAGAATGGGGGGAAAAACATTTCGGAAATGCTGGAGAAAGCAAAGGCTTTTATAAATCTGGCCCATTTATTTATTTATTTATTTTTGCAGGGTTCACTTCAAACCTAACGTTGGTTTCCAATTTTTAGGCTGTAATCCAACACCCACTTACCTGAGAGTAAGCCCTACTGAATACAATAGGACTTCTTTCTGTGTAGGTATGAATAGGATTGCCCTTTTAAGTGGGGACAGCATTCTATTGTAACTGTTCATGTTATGGGCGATATATGTCACTCAGGATATCACCAGTTATATGAATAAAGACACAGAACTCCCTAATTTTTAAAGAGGATAGTCTTTCCTTTCTAATATCTAGGCAGCAAAGGTACTGAGATGTAATAATAATAGCAACAGCAGTACTCCTGATTATGTGAACCAAGTGCAGTGCAAATGAGTGAAAAGCGCTCAGTTATTAGCACAGGTAGGTGCTGGTTTTGAGAGGCACGTATCCTTCAGGTAGGATTAGACTGCAGTGCTATGCACACTTACCTGGAGGCAAGCTCCACTGAACCTAGAGGGGCCTACTTCTGAGTAAACATGCATATAATGGGAAGAAAGCAGGGAGGGAAAGGCGGAACGGAAAAAGAGGAGCAGGCGTTTGAGTTTAAATTAGGATGGACTCTCTGGTGCGGACCTTTTCTGACACCAACACAATAAAGGCATTGGGGTTATAATTTATTATCACAGCAGCAATTACCACCAGTAGTCATAATAATAGCAATGTTTTAATACACAAAAGCGCACCAGCGTGTAAGGAGGCAAACGGGGCTGTATTAGGGGGAAATGTTACCTTCAGAAATAACAAGATTTAAAAAGAGAAATAAAGATTCCGAAAGGACACTTTTGGGGAGTGTAGCCATGGAAGTATTTTATTTCTGTAAAAGGTGGGCACGGAATCAGAGCGCGTTACTCTTTCTTTTATTTATTTTTTTAAAAAACCTGGGTGAGCTTATCCTCCATGCCGGCTAACTCTTCCTTTGCCCAGTAGGTGGCGCAGTCCGCCAACAAGGAGCCACCTCTGCTTTCTGATTCCTCCCCCCTTCTTTCCTCCCCCTTTTGGAAGCCGCGCATTGACATGGGCCTAACGATTCTCGGATCGTCATTATTTGTAACCATAGAGCATGAATTGCCTCTTGAGGTCATCAGTGAGAATTTACGACTGGTCAACAAAAGCACGTGATTCCCAAACGCACCCCCCACCCCACCCCCATATTTGGCCGCATACATAGCAAAAACGAAGTACAGTGCATCGCTATAATTCATTAATACATCATAAATCCTCAAGCACAGGGGTTATAACGACCACGAGCCCCACAAATCAAGCCCTCCAAAATACAACCCAAATGAGTTCTTACTTTGTAAACTCGTTCTCAGGACGCTATCCTAATGCCCCAGACTATCAGCTGTTAAATTATGGGACCGGCAGTTCCATGAACGGATCTTATAGAGATCCAGGCAACATGCACGCCGGCTCTTATGGTGGATACAACTACAATGGGATGGATCTGAGCATCAGCCGTTCAACCTCCTCCTCCAGCCACTTTGCAACGGTTGGGGAGAGCTCCCGCGCCTTCCCTGCCCAAGCCGCGCCGGAGAGCAGGTTCAGACAGGCGTCGAGCTGCTCCTTGTCCTCTCCCGAGTCCCTCCCTTGCACCAGCACCAGCAGCAGCACCAGCAACAACAACAACAACAACAACGGCGGCGGCGGAGGAGGCGGCGGCGGCAGCGGCAGCAGCAACGGCGAGAGCCATGGAGGCAAAGCAGCCGCGTCTTCCCCCGCCGACCAGGCAGCCTCGGTCGGCACGGCCAACGCCACCAGTTTCACAGAGATAGACGAAACCAGCGCGTCCTCGGGAACCGAAGAGAGCGGCTCCCAAGTCAACAGCAACGGCGTCAGAGCTCAGGCAGAGCCCATCGCCACGTCCACGCCAGCCACAGAAGGACAGAGCCCACAGATATTCCCCTGGATGCGAAAACTTCATATTAGCCATGGTACATGCTCCTTTTTAAAATTTGCATCTTCTATCTATATCTACTTCTCTCTCTCTCTCTCTCTCTCTCTCTTTTTCTCTCTCTCTTTATATATAGGAATATATATGAAATATGTTATTGGCAGGGCAGACAGGGCATGGGGGATGGGAGGTGGAAATGGAGCACAATCGCCTGGGAAGACAGCCTCGGTGTGTCTTTTTATGGCTTCCCTTTCTGCTTCCCATCAGAAAGTGCCTTTAGTTATTATTTTTTAATTAATTTAATCTAAAAGGGAGGGAAAGTCTGATTTAGGAGAGGTTTTATGAAAATGTTTCCCTCTTGAAAAATAAAATAAAATAACGCAGACGTAGCATGGTATCTGGGTGACAGGACCTAGTGCTAGAAGTAACCACATTATCATATTCAGAGACGTGAGAATAAGAGTAGTCGTGGCAGCAGCAGTCATAATGGGCTTTTAAAATACCAGGAGTTGAAGAGGTAGGAGGAAAGGAGCGGGTAGACTGGTTTGTGGGGAAGAAGAAAAACAATGCTGTTTGTGGGCACAGATGGGTCTGTCAAACATCTCCTCTTGCCGCCGCCACCACCCCACATTATAGTGTCTGTTGTGACAATGTGGGATAATGGCAAACTCTTTCCCCCTCCCCTCCCCCACGGTAAAAACGGATGGACGTTGCCAAGGAGGATCTGAGCGGCAGAGTTCGAAGGGTGAGGGAATATCGACTCGCTTAACACGCCGATGCTAAATGCATTTGGGTGGAGAAAGGAAGCCCCAAGGATTTCAGTGTGGAAGTTGCTTCCAGCGAAGTGTAGCTAGCTAGTGTCAAGGGGGTGGGCAAGTCAGTTCCAGGGCGAAGGGGAGGCACGGGAACGTACGACCAAACTGGTAGTCCCTCGCCTCCCTTCCTCTCTGCTCGCCTGTGTATGTTTCCCCATTTTGATTATATTGGTATTCAGTATAAGCAGAAAGAGACAGGGAGATACTATGAAGGCTTAGAGCGTCAGCGTCAGGCTGCCATCCTGCCCACCCCTTCCCTAGAAGTAGGCATTACTGAAGCCAGTGGGGTTTACTCCCGAGTAAACCTGCAGACGCTGGAGTTGTGGAAATGTCTAAACTTCTTATAGGGTCAAGGAAAAGGATGCCCCGCAGGAGGGGTTGGGGTGGGGACATCGTGTTACTGGCACATTTTTATTTTATTTTTTAAAAAGGGTGGAATTCAGGTTCGGAGCTATAGAATCAAAATGAAGTCACGGAGAAGGGAATAAAGGAAAGGTGCTAAGGTGGTTGGGGCGTGATTTTTGCAAGTAAGCTGGGGTGAGCTTTTCCAACTAAGCAGGAAACTTGTCGAATAATCTCTCTGGCATAGTTGTAATAAAGACAAAGCCGAACAGAACCCAAAATGTTGTCCATGTATTATTACCCAGATATGACTGGACCGGATGGTAAACGAGCGCGGACGGCGTACACTCGCTACCAGACCCTGGAACTGGAGAAGGAGTTTCACTTTAATCGCTACCTCACCCGCAGAAGGCGAATAGAAATAGCCCACGCTTTGTGTCTCTCCGAAAGACAGATAAAAATCTGGTTCCAAAACAGGCGAATGAAGTGGAAGAAAGATAACAAACTCAAAAGTATGAGTTTAGCGTCTGGTGGCAGCGCATTCCAGCCTTAAATTATATCAAGGGGGGAATAGTAAGAAATAGAAGTGTGGGGCGGGGGGGGGGGGGAGAAGTAAAGAAAGAAAGAAAGTGAGAAAGTTTAAAACTAAAACTAAAAAAAAAAAGCAACAGCCAGTCTTTTTTTTTTTTAAGTTTGGAGTACTGTAAAGTGAAGCACTTTCCATTCAGCATGCTGTTGGTTGATTTATTATAATTATTGTTATTAAACAACTTCGGTGGTACTATTATTCCAGGACTGTGTCCTTTGCTACGATTTCCCCCCTCTAAATTAAAGTAAATAAAATAAAGTTATTTCCAGAGGCTTCTTTAATGCTTTAGGTGTTCTAAATGTTTGTGTCTGTGCTATAAATGACGCTTTCTGGAAAAAGCTAGCATGTTTTTTGTTTTTTGTTTTTTAACGTGCTCTTTAAATGTTATAACTTATTTATAAACCACTGCGGAGAAGGAAATATGGCTCCTTTAAAAAGTTTAGGCTTTGCAAGGAGATCTTTCCTCCTTTCCTTCTTCTCCAGTCGGGCTATCCTGTACTTCAGTGTCAGAGGAAAAAAATTAAAAACATCAACCACAACAAACTTTTTTTTAAAAAAGAAAAAAAATTACAATATATCTATATATAAGCTCATGTATCTTTCTGTCTTTGAAATTGTCAAGTCTGTGATTTGGTTCATATTTCCTGGCCTTGTTTTGATCCTAGGCCAGTTCTGAAACTTTTTTTTTTTAAATAAATGTGAGTGAAGTTCACTTAAAAAGGGTATACGATTGGACCAACCATAGTATGTTGAAAATGTTTGTAAATACTAGAAATACTTCTGCAGTGACTAATAGGAAGTTTTAGTGGGCAGGGTGAATTCAGTGTTCTGTGTGTCTGAAATGGCATTTGTCATGTTAGCTGCCTGTTCCCATCTTTGCCAAGAAGCTTTTCGTATCCGTTTGTAGCCTTAACTTGAAGTCAAATAAACGTTTCTCCTGACCAGAAAAAAACACACCCACCATCTTTTGTGTTTCTTTATACCACGGCGATGGAAAACCTCGGCCCTAAAGTTACTCCTAAGCGAAATACAAACTTAAAAAAACAAAAAAAACAACCACCACCACAGAAAGTGTCTTCACAACCCGTATGGCCCATCTGCCAGGTTCTCCACCAGGACACTTCCCCAACCTTACGAGGGAAGGGTACAAAATCGCCTCGTTTCAGTCGGTGCAGTTGCTGAACAGGAAACACACAACCCAAAGGGAAAAAAGAAAGAAAGAAAGAAAGAAAACAAGCCAGTTGTTATGTTCTCAAACTTTGCTTCCTGCCTTATACGCTCCGATCCTGACCACGTTTACTTGGCAATAAGACCCCCCCATTTATTCCAGTGGCCTTTACTTCCACGTAACCGTGCTGAGAATAGCAGCCATCAAGTCCATAAACCAAACATTTGGGAGAGGAAGTGAAGTGGTCATAACATGAAACAAATGCCCTCTGAGCTGCAGAGCTAATATGCTATTAGCTGTTTTATATTCTTATTAATATTACTACTATATTCCTTCACATACAAGTACAAACACTCTCTCGCAGGGAGTCTTCAACTCAACACAGAAATGCACAGTTGCCTTAACTTTATAATTGTTTTCATTACGCATAATTTACACAACATCTTTGCGCCGACCTTTCCTTATTACTAGCCTGGGATTCTTCCTTCTCTTCCTTCCCTTAAACCAAAGCGCTACCAGTAAATTCTGTTTGTTGAAAAGAGGAAATAAATAGCTGCTGATCTCCTTAAATTATAATTTACAGCGTTCTCTCTCTCGCTGACTCTCTTGTACGAATTAAAATCGGTCTTGTGAACTTACCCCAAACTCTTTGGTTACTTCTTAAGTGGTTTTGAGAGGACTGGGATGTGAGTTGTCATTTCCAAAACAACCCATTTTCTCGCCTTCCCTTGAATACACAGAGTCTCTCTCACACACACACATATATTTTACCCATAGCAAAGTAAGTAAGTATACCAAAAGTGGCTGTGACATTAAGATGTCAAATGGATAGGGTTTTATCTAGAAGTTAGATCGTAAAAATCGCCCAGACCTCAGCCAGATACCCCTCACTGGCTCTCAAAAGTCACGTGAGGTCCATAAAGTTAGTTTTATGGTTTTGGGGAGTTGACAATGTACAATATATTTCACATTCTCCAGAATGTTAAGTGACATTTTAACTGCCTGCTTTGGCTTGGAGAGGGGCAGGAATGGGAGATCACTTTTCCAGGCTAGATAAAGGCTTCTCCATTGCTGGAATAGGAAGCACTGACGGTTCAGTGTTTACTCCAGAGGACTTAGAAACTGCTAAGCTTAAAGTAAGTTTCTCTTGAAATACTATCTGGTTAAATGACTTTTAAAAGGCTAGATTGCTAGAGATTGGGCGGGGGGGCGGGGGGGGATTTCCGTCTCTCTTTCCAGCTTGCTTCTGTACAGTCTTAGCTAAATGAATTTTAAGGCCCCAGTACTCCCTTGGAGTGGCCCACGTTATGTATGTATGTATGTATGTATGTATGTATGTGTATATATAGGCATATGGTTAGCAGAAGAAGAGGAAATAAGATGAAGCGTTCCATCTCGATGAATGGCGATGTCACTGCGGAGTGCTCCAAGGATTTTGCTCGAGGGAGAGAGGGGATTATGTATGACAACTTCGCTGAGGTCCTTGGTAGCTCTTGTAAAGCACTTTGCGGGTGTATTCAGGTATTGGGCGTGTATTGATGTCTAGGTCTTAAGCACACTTACTTAGAAGTGATTCCTATCAGAATCAGTAGGATTGATTTCGACGGCTTGCTTTCAACAGAGGCTGTTCTGTCTGCGTGTGTCTGTGTGTCCTGTGTGTGCGCACGCTGGGAAAGCAAAATGTAGACTTTGAGAGACAACATTGCTTTTTAACCGTGCGTGTGTGTGTGTGTGTGTGTGTGTGTGTATTCCTGAATAACTTACCTTCAGAACATTGGACGTTCACAATTTACCTCCCCCTCCCCATTCTTCAGTATTTCTGTCGTTCGGGACGTTTCCTTTGGCCTCCCAACCCCCACACCCCATTTTACAAGGTATCTTCCTCCGCTTCCTCGGTATACTTGTAATTTTCCACATGTTGCTGCTAACCATGGCCTGGGAAGTTCTCCTGCGCAAGCCTGGTGGAAATGAAGATCAAAGAGCATGTACTTTCCCGTGGATAGTGTCCTATGTAGTGCGTCCCCGTGTCTTGTGCAACTCTCTGCTATGCATATTTCCCCCCCGGAAGTAAGCGCCGTGAATCAAGTGGGGCTTACTTCCAAGTCAATGTGCCCAGGCTAGTTGCTTGGCTGATATAAAGGTGGAAGAGACTGCAGTTTGTTAAATGGGGCAGGTTTCCATCTCGCCCACTTATGGAATCTTCTCTGTCCGAAGCAAGACGCCTTTGGAAAAGGGAAATGAGTTTTTTTGGAGGAGGGGAGAGATACTACTCCATGCCCCATAAATGTTTAAAACTTCCCGTTTCTTCCGTCCAAATAGGAAAGGTTCATCATAAAGGTAGCAGAGGCTTTCCAGACAGGGCCTAATCCAGATACTGATCAATGAATGTAAAAAATCCTCTTGTCTTGAGGATGCTTTAAGCATAAACATTCAGCACTTGACCTAAAGCTGTTTGACTCTGGACTTTAACGCGATTATGCCAAAGAGCTTTAGAAACTTCTATTTACTGTTGTTGTTGGATCAGCCAAATAAAATATTTTAAAACACAGGGAGGGAGTGGGACAAACCTTGTTTGAGTTGTGAAGCTTGCTTGCTTCTTACGTTCAGGAATAAGGGGCTGTATAGGATCTTAGATAAGAGGGAGCCCCAGGGCTTCAAAATGACAGCTGCATTCCATAGTCTTCAATGGTATATGCAGTCTTCTCCTATGCAAACCTATGCACACTTATATCTGGGGTATATCCCATTGTGCTTTGTGGGGTTACCTCCGAATAAACTAGCACAGAACTGAAATGTAAGTTGTGTGTTGGCGTTTAAAAACAAACCACAAACTCATTCGGACTGATGAAATGAGATGTTGACTCTGCTGTAACCTCGCTATCAGCCCTTCTTCTTTATTCTACCTCGCTCCTCTTCATTTTAATGGAAATTACTAGTAAATCAGAGATTCAAAGAGGCCTTGCTTTTCCATAAGCAGAGCAGTTTCTAACTGATTTGCAGGCATTGTGGGTTTTGGGGTGTTGGTTTTTTTGCATATTTCTCCACTCGCTTTCAAAAATGAGCTGGTGCGAAGGAACCATTTTCCAACCTGAATTCTCTCTCACAAGTTCTATTTAAATGAATGGGGCCTAGGCAAGAGCACTATTCATTGAAATAGACTTTAAGTAAGTAACCCTGCTGGATGAGCTCTGGTGGCTTTGTGGGTTGAGGAATATTTTCCAAGTGTTATTCTCCCCCTTTCCTCCCTCCCCGCCTCCATTGCTTGAAGCTAGGATCTTTAGGGCTGTGTAACATTTGGTAGACACATGTCTTTCGGTGCAGGATAAAAGGGACCACTTTTGCTGCTTCTCCCTTCCTATCACATTTAGACCATCCTTCCTACTGTTTCTGAAGACTGTCCCCTATTGACTCTGTGCCCTTCTCTGAGAATAGGATCCGAGAACACACTTGACTGCAGTTGTGCCATGTGCCTGTTGATGGTGGCTTGCTGGCTTGAATGGGGAAAGACCACATTCTCTAAAACCTTACTCCGAATGTCTCTCAGTACATAATACAGTACACCTTTCTTCTTCTGAAAAAACCCTTTGGAGTTATGACCCACCTATCATTAAGCACATCCTACTTCCATGTAATTCAACTGAAGAGTTAGGCAGTTGCTTAAATATATTCCATTGAATTAAATGGAACTTTAACCTTGACTGGATCGTGCTCTTGAACACGAAATAAATGATTCAAACTTTAGGGGCTGCCACAAGCCAGTTTACACACGCATGCACACCTGTAAAACAGATAGATACATCTCCACAAAATGAGAGACAAAAGAATGCTACCCGTTTAGGTTAGAGTTCGCAGGCTGTGCGCCAGTCATGCACTCTTATCTGTTCTATGAAATACTACGGTCTCATCGAATCTGTATCTGGTCTCAGGAAGGACGCCGACGTTTGGTATGGGAGCTCATACACATATATGAACGACATTGCTTTCCATTCCGGCCAATTTATTGGCACTGGGACACTGGGCAACAATCTAGACTATGGGCACGGAGTGAAGGAGTAATACCTATGGATGGGAAGAATGGAGATCTCTGGTTTCCAGGGTCGGAAAACAGAGGATCTTATTGCTAAGGAAATTTCCACCATCCATCCGTGAGTTTCTCCATTCCATAAACCTCCCTTTCTTCCTATCCAGTCCACACTTCTCTCTTTGCATGTTTGTGATTCATCTGCCTGTACGATTAATTCCCACGCCTATGCACCTACATACATACATACATACATTTCTCACTTGCGTATTGCGGCATATGTGGCAGGAAGGCTTGCGATCCTATGCAGGCTGACACTGCAGTCTTAACCATGCCTGAGTAAAGTCCTATTGCACTCAAATTCAATAAGTAAGTGGGGTTAGGTAAGTTGGGGGAGTATGCTTTTTGCAACTCAGTGTGCCATACTTCCGAGGAAACATGCCTAGGATTACGCGGCAGGACTGCTATCCCACACAGCCAAGGCAAGAAGGGCATCCTATCAGGATGATACCTGCGGTGTCTCAAGAGAACCAGGTCCAGCGTCCCATCCCTAGCACCTCGTTTGATCCTGGGCGTTGTGTTTGTTGGGCTGATTCCATCCGGTTCCATTTTAATGGGAAGGGCATTCCGTGCGTCGAAAGAAAGACGGCACAAGGGAGGCCACCCCTTCATAAAGGTGACCGGTGGGTGTTTCCCTTGCTTCTGTCCTGCCCAAAACATCTAAAGAAGGGAAAGTAGAAACATCTCAGAATCTGTTAAGCCTGGCCACTTATCCGCAGTCCTAATCCTGACCTCCCTCCCCCGCGCCCCTCTTTAATCCTTTCCGCAAGTTAGAACTGTCCCAACAGAGGAGGCAAAATTCTTTAGGTTTTCTGTGCATATTCTCTGTTCATCTGCATTCAGAGTTAAGTCAAAGGTTCCCTTCTATAACTCACTTTTCTTCTCCTGGTGTGTTTTCCAAAGTTGCTTTCCTTTCTCCACAAGCCCCAGTGTTTATTATGGCCAGTGGGAGTTTA